AGGGTCGGATAGATGGATAAACTGCAGAAATGAGAGATGAGATCATGTCTACATGCATGGAGTCTGAGGAAGTGCTCGTGTGAGAGGATGGAAAAGTACCGCAGGATGGAGAGAGAGATGGAGCAAAGGCCTCGGATGAGACTGGGAAATCAACTCCATGATTCAGGAACATCTACAGCACTGAGGATCATAAGCGCTGCACACAGTGATAGAGTCCCTCAGTTTCACAGTGGCTGATCCTTGAAATTTCACCTTTGGTGCCCCAATCATCACTCTTTGTTTTCATCTCATATAACAGTACAATATCACAGAACCATATGAGCCTAGACTCTAACAATGCTAGGTTGTTTGGACAAAACCAACCGTTGGGTTTAAATTTTAAACCACCGTTGAGTTTCAAATTTAACTATAAACCAAACGGTTGGATTTGTCCATATTGATTATTTGTTTGGTTCAAATATGGACAAAACCAACCGTTGGGTTTAAAATTTTAACTGTAACGGTAAACCAAACGGTTGGATTTGTCCGTTTATTTGTTTGGGTCAAATGGACAAAACAAACCGTTGGGTTCAAAAATTTAAACCCAACGTTTGGTTTTGTCCATATTTGACCTAAACATGGGGAACACTGAAACAACCCAGCATTTTTCACAGTGTATTCTTACATAAACACAAACGCGTCTCTTTCACCACAGCACAGAATCGTGATTTTAACGCTTACCTGTCCGATCTCTCCGGTTCCGTCCATCCGCGGTCGTTTGCACTCAGCCCCGACCGAATCCCCCGCTGCCGCGATGCCCTCCGGCTCCGGGTCCCCGCGCTTCATCCCCCGAACCCCCGCAGAACCCGAGTCCAGGTCCCGCTCGCGCTCCAGGATCCCGCGGCTCACGGGCAGCATTACAGATGCGACGTCGGTCGACATTAACATTGAAGAGGGCCGCAGATGTTGCGTATGAAGAGCGAATAACGAAGACGAGATGTTCTGGCAGAGGATCAGCGGCGCTTTACGGATCAGAACTGACGCTCATCTGACGCGTTAAAACCCGTTACAGACTGACGCGCGCGTGCCGCATTAAAGGCCTTTGAAGAGGAGCGAGTATTTCGGGCCTGGACGCGAATAACAGACTCGAACCACGAGCAGAAACACCTCCGAGCTTCGGAACGCGTAGAATATCCTCTGGTGAGAAACTGAAAACGGTGCAAAAAACGAGTCTAGCACACATGGACGGTCAACGCGGAGGAAACGCTTAATGCGTCTGAAGGTTTCAGATCTTCAACGCTCTTCTGTCGATGCCACTTAAATTAAACGCAAAAGCATGAAGTTCGCCTTTAAAAACAGGCGTCGCGGGAAAACGCGAGAGAAACGCGATGCATCATTCCAGTCCTTCGAGCGAGATTCAAGCGATTTCCTAAAACAAAGGAGTGGCGTGGAGCTGCTGGTTTTCCTTTCTTCTCCCTCTCTCTCTCTCTCTCTCTCTCTCTCTCTCTCTCTCAATGGATTCTTGCTGCGGAGAGGAAACGCGCGCGCCCCTCCTCTCCGGTTTCCTCGCGCTCGCGTTGCTTTATTCTTGCTGCAGTTTCCCGTTTTCCCTGTTTGAGCACGAAGCTGTTTTAGTGTTTAACTCGGAACCGAACGCAAGATTATATCCGACTATATATAAGCTATATGACTATTCACACTGTATCAGCGTTTTGTTCACTAATAAACCCGCAATGCAATACTGCGACCGGGATACGTCAACAATGTGACGAGCCAATAATGAATGTTCCGTATGGAGAAATACAAATCTGCAACTTAGTAACAGATCGGCTGGAACTGAAAGGGTGAATTTGCTGGAAATACACGCTCATCTGTCCTTACATGTGTGTTGATACAGGGAAATTGATAACCAAAGCGCACATATATAATTAGCCTGTTATTATGTGATTCATATGCGGTACAGTGTGTTCCTGCTGGATTCGCAGTGGAAAATGAAGCCGCCGAAAAGCGAGTCGCTTTTGCGGCGTTTTCCCGACATCTAGCGGCCACAAGGTGCAATGACACCCATCAACAATCAAAAAGTCTCACATGCCGTTTCAAGGCCATGTTCATGCAATTTCTGAACTTTGTTTTCTTTTGCGCAATACTGGATGGATTTTCATTTAAAAATGACCATCTGTTAGAAAAACTATTTACTGATACACGGTGTGTTATTCTGCTGCACCTTGGTTTAATAATCAGACAATCTGAATGTAAGTTCAACATTTTGTAACAGTATTTGTACAATTAAATTTATGTAAATGAATTTGTAATAGTAATTACTGCATTTGGAGGCACACAGTTCACCATCACTGACCCACTTTACCCCCGTTTTGAGGAGAAAAAAATGCTTCATTCAATAATTCATGGCTAATCTTTAGACAAATTTAAGCATAGCTACATACTTTTGGGTCATTCATGAAAGAAATACATAAATGAAGAAGAAAGCCAAAATATTTAATGTAATGGCTGTATATAAATTCACTATTTTAATTAGGGGGTCAAAATGACAGTTTTCACATAGGATTCGGAGCCAAATTACTGGGGGATGAAAATGACTTCAGAAAGACGAGAGCATCATTATTTTATTTTTACACAGAGATTGGTAGGTCTATTAGTTAAATCTGATGACTTTAGTAATATTTGTTGCTTTATAAGCCAACGGTGACGGTTCAAAAATGGGAAAAAGCTCGTTTTTTGCATGGAGTTTGCATGTCTGTAACTGAAGAACTGTTCGCGACGTCTTCATATCCTTTTAGATTCTGATTCTGAACAAACTTTTCTTGTGCTGTCTTAATTTTTAAGACCCAATATGGTTTATTTCCAGAGATATGGAAATCTCAACACTAAAAAATGCTGGGTTGTTTTAACTTAATTTTGGGTCAAATATGGACAAACCCAAACGTTGGATTAAAAATGCAATTTAAAAATGTAACCCAACGGCTGGTTTTGTCCATATTTGACCCAAAATTGGGTTAAAACAACCCAGCATAGTTTAGAGTGGTATAGAGCATACCTGTCTGAGTGCCATAAATGTTCTTTTTCCAAAGTTTGCGTGCCTGTAACTCAAGTACTATTAAAGATATCTCAATATCCTTTTCGATTCTGATTCTTAATAAACTTTTCTTTTGCTGTTTTAATTTTTAAGACCCAATATGGTTTATTTCCAGAGATATGGAGATCTCAATCCGGCTCCATGAGTAAATTGTACTAATTTTCAGTGCTCAAAAACCAAATGTGTGTCACTTTACAGACAACTGATGCTTTTTTTTCTTTTAAAGAGGATTATCAGAATAACAAATAATGTTAAAACTACAAATGTATCTTGTTTTTTTTTATCAACACTAAAAAATGCTGGGTTGTTTTAACTCAATTTTGGGTCAAACATGGAAAAACCCAAACGTTGGATTAAAAATGCAATTTAAAAATGTAACCCAACGGCTGGGTTTGTCCATATTTGACCCAAAATTGGGTTAAAACAACCCAGCATATTTTAGAGTGAGCATACCTGTCTGAGTGCCATAAATGTTCTTTTTCCAAAGTTTGCATGCCTGTAACTCAAGAACTATTAAAGATATCTCAATATCCTTTTCGATTCTGATTCTTAATAAACTTTTCTTTTGCTGTTTTAATTTTTAAGACCCAATATGGTTTATTTCCAGAGATATGGAGATCTCAATCCGGCTCCATGAGTAAATTGTACTAATTTTCAGTGCTCAAAAACCAAATGTGTGTCACTTTACAGACAACTGATGCTTTTTTTTCTTTTAAAGAGGATTATCTGAATAACAAATAATGTTAAAACTACAAATGTATCTTGTTTTTTTTTTTATCAACACTAAAAAATGCTGGGTTGTTTTAACTCAATTTTGGGTCAAACATGGAAAAACCCAAACGTTGGATTAAAAATGCAACTTAAAAATTTAACCCAAAGGCTGGGTTTGTCCATATTTGACCCAAAATTGGGTTAAAACCCAGCATTTTTTAGAGTGTGTATAGAGCATACCTGTCTGAGTGCCATTAATGTTCTTTTTCCAAAGTTTGCATGCTTGTAACTCAAGAACTATTAAAGAGATCTCAATATCCTTTTCGATTCTGATTCTTAATAAACTTTTCTTTTGCTGTCTTAATTTTTAAGACCCAACATGGTTCAGTTCCAGAGATATAGAGATCTCAATGTGGCTCCATATTCAAAATTTTACCCATTTTCACTGGTCGAAATCCAAAACGTGGGTCACTTTTCAAACAGCTGATATAGTCTGAAGAACAAATAATACTGAAACTTGAAATATATCTTGTTTCCTTCTATAAAAACAACTGCATACAACACACCTCTAAAACCTTTCTGAAATTTGGTTGATTTGGTTAAAATGACCCTTTCTTGTGATGGACCTTTTCTAAACGGTTACTTGACAAAAGGTCAGAGTTATTGAGTTCACTGAAATGAAACTGTGTTTTGTTAAACTGAAATCAGTCGTAAGCTCATATATATATCGTTCCCCACCGCTGTGGACTCAGTGGCAGAGAGCCAGAAATGAGTATTTGCAAGATGTTACAGTAGATTTACTCATTTGTTCCTTGCATCACTTGTTGACTTGAAGCTCTGCAGTTACATCACAAAACTTTGATCGTGCAGAGACTTTATCACAAAACTTTTCCTCCTCTTCAGCCAATTACAGACTTGTTGACCCAAAAGAGTCGCAACAATTGGTTGTGTCCAAATGTCCCGTGAGAGAGACACTGAACTAAGGACAGGTCTGAGTCGGTGATGGTCAGAGAGACTCCGGCAGAGACGTGGATCGCAGCAGGACGCCTCCATACTGTGAGTTATCAGTCAAATATTTCATAGTTTATCTTCATTTAAAGGGGTCATGACAATATTAGGTTCAAGTATGATTTTGGTAAAGTTGTGCACCAACAAAAAAACAACTTGTTAATAGCAAAACTGACCCGATTTCTCTGTCAGAAACTCAGTTTCTCCGTTGCCTTCTGCTGTTCTGATTGGCTATCACTGCATAGGAAAGAAGATCAGCGGATTGTGTGAGTAACGGTATGTGTCCTCAGTAGAGTTGGTGTTTTTAATGGATCATATGCACGATTGCTTCTGCATTCAGTCTCTGTGGAAGCTCTGTGCTGAGTAGAAATCTGAGAGTAAATATTACGCACAAAATTAAATCCTGAGGACGTGTAAGACAACAGGACAAAGCTTTATTGATAAGATCTACCTGAACGCTAAAGGTATTTAAAGCTTTCATTATAACATGTTATGTTTTAATATTTTAAATGTTAGGTTTACTAGCGCACTCTTAAAAACAATTGTTTATTGGCATTGATGGTTCCATAAAGAAAGGGTTCTTTTTAATGGAAAAAGCTTCTTTAGATAGATAAAATGTCAAATAAAAAAATGGTTCTGTTGTGTTCACAATTGACTTGGTTCATTTGATCCGGACCAAGAAAAATAAGTAGTCCTGGTCCGCTTTAGCGTTCACATTGGCATTTTAACACCGAACCTAAAGGATGGATATTCTCACAACCTGATTGGTCTGCTTTTATTTCGAGACTGAACATCCAGAACAATGCTGTGTTCTGGGATACATGCGCTCGTTGTGTGTGCGTAGCTACATATGATGGTATTCTGACCAGCTAAAACTCGTGAAGAGCTTATAACGCGCGGTTCTGACGCCTGTACTGAACTGTGATGGGCAACATCGCGACTAATGAGAAACAGGTGTGCTTAAGCATTCAGTGCTTTAGTGTCTCATCTTCGAGTGGTTGGTCCGTTCACACGTCTTCGGTCCGTATCGTGTTCATATTTCAGTCGAAACGCACCAGAGTTTGTTTGGAAGCGGATCGAGATCCATCTTTTCAGCTCTCGGTTCGCTTGTTTGGTTCGGATGGCAGCGTTCACACTTATTCAAATGAGCCGCACTAACAGAGCAATCGCACTAGAGTTCGTCTAATCCAAGCAAACATGCCAAGAGTGAACACAGCCTTAAAGGTTCTTTGGGGAACCCAGAATTGTTCTTATGTCATGCTTTCTTGCAAACACTCATTTACAAAACGATCATCTGGACAAACGGATAATCCTCCGACGCGAACGGCTGTTGTGCCGAAATTACTATTTTACACAGTGAGACTTTTATTTTGATGAGTCATATTTGACTAGAATGATAATTAGAGATATCTGTATACGTTTGAAATTGTCAATTGACACGTCATGCATATAGGTAGTTAGAGATGTCTCTAATTATATTTTGACTAGTCAAAATGACAAAAGTATATCTCGTACCGAAGCCATTAAACGGACAGGCTAGACAGATGTTGTAATTACCGTAAATACTCATTTTACAAGATTTCAACTAAAAAGCATTGACGTTCTCGTAGAGCTCGTAATTACAACTTGAAAGCTGGGAATTTTCTGAGAGCTCCTTGCCATAGAAATGCATAAATCCCAGTCTGACGACGTCATATCAACGTCACGTTATCATCTCGAAATTACAGTAATTACGACATGACGCAAACGCAGAATTGGTCTAATATTAAAGCATGATTTCGATGTAAACAATAGATCTACAATATTCACATGCAGTTCATAGGAGGTATGATAACATTTAAACCTTTAACATTTTTATCTCCCAGTCCGGACATTATAACTCATAATTGCGAGTTTATATCACAATTCTGAGGGAATAAGTCAGAAATCATGTTTATATCTCACAATTCTGATTGCTCTTCTCTGAATAAGATAAATGTGATAAATGTCAGAATTGGGAGATATAAACTCTGAATTGCAAGATAAAAGTCAGAATTGTGAGATATAAACTTGCAATAAGCGTTTTAATTATTTTATTCCGTGGCTTCCATAGACTAATACTGTGGAACTGTCACTTTCTGACTGCAGAGCCAAATGACGTCCAGCTCCTCCTCTCGGGATGTAATGGGTGGAGCTTGACTTCCAGCTCCTCCTCTCGGGATGTTCATTTATTTCAGTAATTCAACTTAAAAGGTGAAACTCAAACTAATATATTATATCATTACATGCCAAGTGAGATATTTCAAGCCTTTATTTGTTATAATTTTGATGATTATGGTTTACAGCTTATGAAAATCCCAATATCAAAATTAGAATATTGTGAAAAGGTTTTCATAAGCTGTAAGCCATGTTTTTTAGTTTTTATTGAAAGGATCCCCATTAGCTACAGCCGTGCTGCAGATATTCTTCCTGGGGTCCTGAAAAATATGTACATTAAAAATACAACAAATAAATGGAAAAGGTGAATACACAAACACATACAGATATACACATACATATACACATGTATATATACACATATCAACGTACATATGTACCCTCATACGGGCATGAAATATACACATATATAAAAACACATTCTACACATACACCTATAAACATACCTACACATGTACATGTACATACATATTCACATATATAAATAAATATAAACAGTCAGATATATATATTTTTTTTTTTACATAATCATCAAAATTATAACAAATAAAGGCTTGAAATATCTCACTTGACATGTAATGAGTCTATATAATATATTAGTTTCATCTTTTAAGTTGAATTACTGAAATAAATGAACTTTTGCACGATATTCTAATTTTTCGAGTTTCACCAGACTAGTAGAGAGAGATGCACATCAACTTAACTTTACCGTTCGTTTGCTGACATCAAACTTGGAGAGGAGAGAACACAAGTCTGCCTGATCGCTGTTCCCGCAATTCTCTCTCATGGTGTGTTTTTTCTCTCTTTTCGTGAGCAGAAGGAAAGTTCCGCTTAATTTTCTCATCGATGTTATAAACTTTGATTGACGCGCTCTGACACGAGGGGGAGTCGGGGCCGTGAGGGGGAGGCGGGGCTTTGAGGAGTAGGCGGGGCCTTACGGGGTAGGCGGGGCTTTGAGGAGGAGGCGGGGCCTTGAGAAATTTGCGGCCCTATGTGTGTAGGGCTGATCGGCTCTAATGTTCTCCAAAAGGATTTAGAGAAGTTACATGAAAAAATATATGTTCTGTATCTTCAGAGAGACATTTACAAAGATGACAAGGCACATTTTCAAAATTAAATGTTAAATTCAGAAATTTATTGGAAGGATATATGGCATCTTAAAGTGTGTCTCTTTTGCTTTTGGGGGGGAAGAAGAAATCTTAAAGCTGTTCTAAAATATTTTACAGTATCTTTATCAAATGTATGATCATTTATTTCTTAAAATTTGACAGGGGTAGCAAGATTGGATGATAATGAGGACTGCCGTAATTTTTGAGTAGCCTATGATAAGGAACACTTCATTAAAATTTTTATACCAGAGGGTGTTGCATTAATAACTGTTTTGGATGACAGGCAAATCCGTGTTTTAGAGTGAAGGCATTGTAATCCAAGATATTACCATTCTCATCCATTAGGTCCATTACAGAATATTCCTGCTTAACCAGTCCTCGTACAATAGAGACGTGTTTCTATGTCAAATATATCTGTTATTCTACAAAGGACTCGAAGTAGGCCTATTGTGGGTAAAATTATGCATGTGTGCCAGTTTCCAAAATAATAAAACTTTGTTGGTGGAATGCTGATAGTTTCACCGGGAGTTTGAGTAAATCAGTCACATTTGAGTAGAAAGTGAATTCCACCCAGTTTACAAAACAAAGCCGAAGGCAGGACATCCCAAAAGCTATCAGTGTTACATAAAAACATTTGAAGCCACGCTCTCGAATTCAATCACATTCAAACCATCTTGTTCATATGACTTGATAATGTCAGATTTTTGCCATACTTTGTATGTTGCTCTTCTAGCCGTAGCGTCGTTTGTCGCGTCGCGACGACCGTTGGACACGGTTGGACCGTCTCGCTCCACCCATTGGCTCTGCATCTGCCGCCAAAAAGTGTTAGCTCCGCCCACAAATAACACGTCAAACACCAAAATTGTTTTTATTTAGACTTTACTTAGATCCATCCTGTTGCCATAGCGATATAACTGACACGGGGACCGCTACTGGATGGAAGTCTTCAGGAATTATTAAATAATAGCTGGATGCATTCATATCTGGTAAAATGTCTTCAGTAGGCCTATGCCATGTATCCAGTAACGCTGTGATTTCAGAGCCTGAAGAAACACGGAATTACGCATCAAAAACGTAAAACAGTGCAAATTAATGTGCGACGGAGAGGTTTATGCTTCAGATTCAAAGCAGTCAGTCAAATTAAACATGTCTTCAAGTATAACTGGTATTAGAATAATGAGTAATGACATTAGTGTTGCTTAGTGCAGGTTAATAACTCTGGCATTAATGTAACAGTCCACAAGCTGGCAGTGTTGCATTACAGCAGAAGATCAGTGTTCTCTTCAGTGAGAGTGCATGAAACACTTCTCTTACATTATGGCAGATGTTGCACCAGACATGTACAAGTCGAGATGAAACATCTTACTTAAATTTCGAGTGAGTAAATGTAGGGAAGCATGCGTGATGTTTTTATGGGTTCGTTTGGGAATGAAAGCTGCCGCAATTTAAACCTCAACATAAACTTCTCAAAGCTGTACAACTCATAATCTATGTCATTTTGACAACAAAAAAACCCCCTACTTTTTTCTTTTCATATTAAAAAAAAAAAAATCTGTATTTTATAAAGCAAAGATATTTCTTGCATATTGCATGCCTATTGCATGCCTTTTACATCTATAAAGCAATTGTCTCTATGGCATTCTTCCGAGTCAAAAAGCTAAACTTAAATATCTCCATCTTCCTATAGTCAAAAATCAGATTGAAAATCTTTAATCGAGATATGACCATTACATTTTGACTAGTAAACCAGTTCTATTATGACTATGATGGTGATATGATATAACTTTAAGACAGTCTGAAATTTGTCTTGCGTTACAGTAAGTTCATTCACAAATACAAAACCATAGTACATAAACAGAACCTTTACAATCACACACACACACAATCAAAACCCCCGGTAGGCTATAGATGTAATTTTTATGAAACATATTCAACTCGAACACAGCTTGATGCACGAAGGAATCCTTTAATCTAATTCGATTATATCTTGGGACCTTGTAACGCCAATTGTATTGTAAAAGTACAAATTCATTATACAACACGATTCGGTTCCGAGACAATACTGTTGGGCAACCTTATGATAATATATCTCGTATAATTTTTGAAGTGGCTGACCCACAATCTTAGAGCACATTTTTAGTTTAGTTTTAGAGCAAAACACTCATATTTAGACATGAAAAATTATAAAATAATCTGGTTTCTTGCTCCAATAATCCCTTAATAATAATTTATCTATAATCCCTACATTCTTTTGGAGACAGGATTTTTGGTTCAGGTTTTATGTATGAAGTTTTCCATTAAATCAAAACCAAAGGCTTCCTCTAAACGCTGTTTGAGTTCTCTATAAAGTCCTTGTTTTTAATTGGTCACACTTTAGATTAGCGTCCAATTCTCACTATTAAGTTTTGCCTCGATAAACTCCTAAATACTGCTTATTAATATAGTTTGTAAGGTAGTTGTTAAGTTTAGGTATTGTGGAATTAAGGGATGTAGAATATGATCATGCAGAATAAGACATTAGATCTGCTTCATAAATTAACATCCAATATCCTAGTAATGTGCAACTTGTTAATAGTGATAATTGGATCCTAAACTAAAGTTTTCCTGCAACTTTCCTTTTATCCATAATTTCCTTGATGTCTTTGGTAACATACAATTTATTATTTGGATTAAATTGAATCTCCTTTGTGGGTATAATCAATTGCACACAAAAATTGATATAGTCATTCATTAATTCAGCCCTTTCTCATTAAATCTAATGATCCTTCATGGAAAATTTTAGTAGTAATGTTACTTTCGGATAACTAAAATGTAAATGATGAGGAACTAAAGATATCATTGCTTGACCAGTCAAATTTAAGATATCTCGAATTATATTTTTACTAATGAGAATTCAATGAGATATCTCTCATTCGCATTATGTTTAATACAAATTCTACTGGTCAAAACTCCTCTGTAGCTTTCAGACAATATTTTCCAATGTAAGTCAATAGAAGTATATGACTAGCACTGTAGATCTCTTAACCTGTTAAGTGTCACCCTTTTTTTGAATAGACATGAAAATGCACATTTTGAACTTAAATGGTTGCAATTCATGAATGCTTTGGAATATAGACATAAGATTGGTCTTGTTTTAAAGAAGACATTTGGCAGATTTTTGTAGAAGTGAAATAAATTAAGAAAGTGAAACAGAAAAAAAGTTATAGAAGTTTGAGCTTATGCAAATGTACAATGTAAAAAAATTAATTATTCATATTTTATATAAAATATATATTTTCAAAACCTGCGCTACTCTAAAACTGCAGAAAAATCAAAGCCAAAAATCTGAACAAGTTGTGTTTAAAATTTTAGGTTGATATCTCAAAAAATGAGCTTTCATTATGATTTTGTTTGTGTGCAGTACCAAACTTTTTCATGACAACCAGACTCCATTACTGCCCATATAAGGGCACCTGCATTTCCATATGTGTTTTGAGTTATCTGAACCATTATTTCCACAATTTTCATACAATTTATGAAGTAGACATCCTATTCAGAAGTAATATGAGAAGTTTGGCAGATTTTTATATGAATTCAACCTCTAAGAAACGCATACAAAGAACACGCATGTGCGTTATAACTCGCCGCCACATCACTAAATGATGAATTTATTATTTTTTCTTTATATTTAAAACATTTTCAGACCTTTTTTTCTAAAATAATTGAATGGATGCTATCTTTTGAACTTTTGGCATGAAAACAAACTGAGGTTTATACCATTTTTTCATGATTTTTCATGTTCATCTCTATTTCAAAATAAAGGTCTGAACACGCCTTAGGAGTATGAAAATATTCTTGTTGCAAATTGATAAATTACGGCTCCTCCGTAATATATTTTGAAGATCAGTCACCAAATATGGAAACTAGAGATTGTAAGCTTTCAAATGATATATAGTTTTTCAATATTACTTAAGGTTTTAACTAAGATATTATTGTTTTAAAAATATAATGGCAAACGTCCCACCTGTGGGACGGTCATGTTGACGACATCTCAATGCCAATTACGGGTCAAGATGGCAGAATAGAAATCTGGAATTGAAACTTTGACTAGTCAAAACTAGTAGAGCCATGGCCATTACTGGCTGCAACAATCTTCTCCAATGTTTTAAACTTTGTACAAACTAGTTAAAAAGTTTCCTCGTGTTATGACCCCATTAATTTAGAAACAGACTTTTGAAAATATTGTTAGATATTTGGTTTTGGTTTGAAAGTATCATGGCTGATCTTGAATTCATGTATATATAACAGTCGTTCTCGTTCACAGCTTATTTCATCATCATTCCTCATGGAAAACATCTCGGCTTCGAACCTGAACTCCACCGCCTCCGGGTGGCGCCGTCCGCTGTGGTACCAGTACGATTCCTGTGCCGTGGCTCCTCACTGGTTTATCCTCTACTTTAGTGTCAAAGTATTAAACCTGGTTGCTGGATTCCCAATGAACGCCCTCGTGATGTGGCAGATTCTGAAGAAGAAGAGCGAGGGATCGACGTCTGACATCTTTATTTTCAACCTCTCGGTCCTGGACGCATATTTCGGCCTCATGACGCCGGTGGACATGGTCAACCGGCTGTACCTCAACAATCCCAAGATCTGGTATTCCCAACGCTTCGCCTACGGGCTGAAAGACGTGACTCCGTTATTTCTCACCTGTATTTGTCTGGACAGGTATGTCGCCGTGGTCCATCCCATTTTATTCACCGGGATCCGTGACAATCGCATCCGAATCGGCGTCTCCATGGTGGTTTGGGGACTCATCCTGGCCTACTCGTTGACCAAATGCTTTTTAGGCGTCTTGAGTGTGAACGAAGTCTTCAGCGGAGTCATCCTCGCTGCCTTCTTCCTCATGGTGTTCTGCAACCTGTCCATCATCTGGGTCCTCAGGAAAAGCGTGGCAGGGAAAGAAGTCATGAACCCGTTGAAGAAGAGAGCCTTCAAAATGGTGTCTATCGTCCTCGCCATCATCGTGGTGAACTATCTCCCTCCGGTTGCTCTGCTGCCGTTTGCCTCCACCTACTCGTTCAAGACGCTCCACTGCAAGGTTCTTCTCGCCGTGTTCTCCATCATGGACTTGAGCTGCACCATGGAGCCTTTGCTCTACATCTCGAAGATGGAGTGGTCCGAGTTCTGTCCCTGCCTCGAGAGTCCCTCCAAGAAACCCTTCAACATTAGCGTCTGAAACGAACCACGGTCTGTGTGTGATTCTAGACCGTGTATTTGTTTAATTCTCAACAGGTCTGTCGTGATTGGTCACTTAAAGTAGGGAAAAACACAACATTAAATGCATATAATGAAGCAAAACTAAGCAAAATTATAAAGGACTGAGAAAATCTATATCTTTAGTCACTGATGTCAAAGGTTGTTTCCATCAAACTCTACAGTATTTCAGCACAAATAAATAAAATCAAATTAATATTTATTTTTACATGGACATGGTAAGCAAAACTACACAGAGTCAATAAAATATGACATTGAATGAACATGATTTGAGCTCAACACACTTGAAACCACTTCTATTTTTCTTTTCGGTTTCAGTCAAACTCGGTCCTTGAGAGTCACTGTCCTGTAGAGTTTAACTCCAACTTTCCTCAACGCTCCTGGAACTTTCTAGTATGCCAGGAAAGACCTTGATTAGCAGGTGTGTTTAATTGGGGTTTGAGCTTAACTTGGCAGGACAGTGGCCCTCCAGGATTGGACACCCCTGGTTTCAGTCATGTTAAAGGAGAACTCCGGCGCAAAATGAACCTTTGGTCTAATTACACATTGTTACCTAGTCAACCGTTCTCTGAGATTTGTTTTCATGATGATCGAATGTAAAGAGTTTTATCTCTAAAAACTGTTTAGCCTATAACGCTAGTATATAGGGCATAGAGTCATGGCAAATAAAAATCGCTAGTTAATACCACTAACAAGGCTCAAAATAGCCCCACACTAACACGGTAGCGTAATGAGGGACCCTACCTGCAAACCGAAGCATTGAGAACTTTGTCAGAGTCCAGACCGTTTAATAAGAAGATACTTTATAAAGACAGTCCACTTCGCGTATACAGGTAGGAGCCATCTTTGAAAAACAGTCTCGACCAGTCAAACTACGAAACTAGTCTACTCATATAATGTCAGTGCATTTTAGTGTTTAATTTTAGTACTGTGATGTATGACTCTGGGGTTTTGGTTTATGTATTGCAATGGATTTGGTTTTAGCAAAACCTGTTTAGAGCCACTGATTTAATGAACTGCTCATCATTAACATGTTGACTTCATGAGTGTGTGCCAGTTGTCTGAGTGTTGTGTGTGTGTGGTGTTTCCCCAGACGTGACCCTGTTCTGTAACGTTTCATTCCTCGTCACTCTTTTCTGATTGATCGTTAGACTCTGAGAAGATGAAGCTACAGTGAACAGAGCTGAACGTCTCTTTCTTCTCATCACTGTTTTGAGTTTTCATCAGATCACCTGATTCTTTTATTTCTCACAGATTAGATACCAAGTGTCCCAGTGAATAATTAAGAACTTAACGCACCACTAATTAAGATGTTAATTAAAATACCTAGGGATTAATTAGGAACGGGCTGAGGTGACACAGATGGTGCGAGCTTGTAATTGTGTAACTAGATGATGCTACGAGATTAATTAACATGAAAAACATTTACAGTAGATGCTCACGTGAGCTTGTGTTGTCATTGATCTCTGGCTACTAGAGATGGTTTTATTGACCAGAGCAATAAGGACAAGAAATATAAATATTTGTTGTATTTACTATGCATAAAGGAACTCCAAAAATGATGTACTTACATGTCTGTTTATTTATTCTTCTGTTCTGAACTATAGCAGCCATGTGTGAATACTCTGAAATATCAGAATAACAAGAGAGATGGACTTATCTTCATTTGAAGAGTGAAAACTGTAAAGCCAACAGGTTTGACACGCAGCCCTGTAGGAAACCAAATATTCACAAAACTTCACAGCTTTTCATGAAATTAACATTGTTTAAATAAGTACTTGAATACAAAAGAGAAAAGATCTATTCGATCCCAAACTGAACTCATGTTGCTTTTGGCTCAGAAAAAAATCAAATTGAACATGAAATAATAAGGGTCTGCCAAATGCATAAATGTTGTGTAACACAAAGGAGTGGAAACCAACAAGAGGTTTACTAAAATCCCATCCTTTAAAACCTCCTGGATTCAAGTGAAATCTGAGCGAGTGACATGCATGAATGAAAAATTCAAATGCATGAATACACAGCATCTGAATGAAATGAAATGTGAAAGAAACTCACTGTTGTCAGTCATTAAACATTTGCACCAAATACTGAACCCTAAAGTGTGTGAGAAATGAGAATGCAAAAGTTAATAGATCAGTCCCTGTATGAAAACACAAAAGCATTCAAACTAAATTTGAAGTAAGTTGAAACTCTAATGTTTTGGTTGAGTTCACTGAAATGAAACTGTGTTTTGGTAAACTGAAATCAGTCGTAAGCTCATATATATATCGTTCCCCACCGCTGTGGACTCAGTGGCAGAGAGCCAGAAATGAGTATTTGCAAGATGTTACAGTAGATTTACTCATTTGTTCCTTGCATCACTTGTTGACATGAAGCTCTGCAGTTACATCACAAAACTTTGATCATCCCCTTCCATCGAAACTGCAGACTTCATCACGAACTTTTCCGCCAGACCCTCCTCTTCATCCAATCACAGACGAGTTCTTCTGCTACACACCTTCTTGTTGACCCAAAAGACCCGCAACAATTGGTCTCGCCCAAGACGTCCCACCTCTGTCTCCCGCGGGAGAAGCTTTTAATGGAGCGCCCCGAGAGAGACGCTAAACTAAGTCGGGTGATGGTCAGAGAAACGCCGGGAGAAACCGCCAATCGAACGGATCTGTAGCGGGAGAGATTTCTGTGCAATAATTTAACTTGATTTCATGATGAGGTTCTCATAAACAAACCTTTGAAAGGTCGTCACTTTGTTTTGCTGCTGAACAGTCGCTCTCGTCGAAGAACCGACGCTCTAATTCACAGCTAATCATCATTCCTCATGGAAAACATAACGGGTTTAAACCTGAACTCCACCGCTTCTGGGTGGCGCCGTCCGCTGTGGTACCTGTTCGAGGCGTGTGCCGAGGCTCCTCACTGGTTTATCCTCTACTTCGGTGTTAAAGTATTAAACCTGGTTGCAGGCGTGCCATTAAACGTCCTCGTGATGTGGCAGATTCTGAAGAAGAAGAGCGAGGGATCGACGTCTGACATCTTTATTTTCAACCTCTCGGTCCTGGACGCATATTTCGGCCTCATGACGCCGGTGGACATGGTCAACCGGCTGTACCTCAGCGACGACACTATCTGGTACTCCGTGCGTTTCGCCTACGGGCTGAAAGACGTGACTCCGTTATTTCTCACCTGTATTTGTCTGGACAGGTACGTCGCCGTGGTCCACCCCATTTTATTCACCGGGATCCGTGACAATCGCATCCGAATCGGCGTCTCCATGGTGGTTTGGGGACTCATCCTGGCCTACTCGTTGACCAAATGCTTTTTAGGCGTCTTGAGTGTGAACGAAGTCTTCAGCGGAGTCATCCTCGCTGCCTTCTTCCTCATGGTGTTCTGCAACCTGTCCATCATCTGGGTCCTCAGGAAAAGCGTGGCAGGGAAAGAAGTCATGAACCCGTTGAAGAAGAGAGCCTTCAAAATGGTGTCTATCGTCCTCGCCATCATCGTGGTGAACTATCTCCCTCCGGTTGCTCTGCTACCGTTTGCCTCCACCTACTCGTTCAAGACGTTTCGGTGTAAGATCAGCCTCGCCGTGTTCTCCATCATGGACTTGAGCTGCACTATGGAGCCTTTGCTCTACATCTCGAAGATGGAGTGGTCCGAGTTCTGTCCCTGCCTCGAGAGTCCCTCCAAGAAACCCATCGACGTTAGCGTCTGAAACGTAGCATGCGTGATATAAGGCTATCTGTGTCTCAGTGGTTCTCAACTGGTGGGTTTTGAGCCAAAACAAGCCCTCAAGTCTGTTGTAATGGGGCCAAAAATAAACAATGGCTGCATTTACTCTACAAGTCTTAATGCACAGATCCAATCTTTTGACCATATCCGATTTTTTGGCCCGCCTGTTTACACTCACTTTAGACAGGACTGGAATCCGATATCTGCGTTTACATTCATTCCCGCCCAAAATGGTTTTCGGTGATCGTTTTACTAATCACATGGTAGACCCTGGTTTTGAATGGCCATGATATTACAATTATTTACATAATTCATGTCGGGTGTCATGATTATTTGCCAGCATGGACAAGATACCAGCTGTCATGACTCATTAATGTTTTGCCGCGCAAAATCTGACGGAACAGATATATAGTCTATTTATCTAGTTTAGATCTAGAATTCTGAAGTGAAATATAGTAGTGCTGTAATATATATATATTAGGGGTGTAACGGTTCACAAAATTCACAGTTCGGTTCGATACGCTACACTTGTGTCACGGTTCGGTTCGGTACGATTCGGTACGTTTCCGATACAGCGAAAAGAAAGAAATGCCAGAGAAATTTCCTTGATTTAATTTTTTTAATTACATTTTTATTAAAACTAACATCATAAAGTATGATATTTTTTTTTTACTTTGAGCAATGATGGAGCTATACTTGCCTTTTCTTAGGAGCTTATAAAACAAAACAGCTCCTTGGACAAAATGAAATGTAATATTGTAGTTGTTATAAACAAAGGTTTATTTTAGTTCAGATTAACATTTGAGGGCAGCAACTGTATTCATAATGTCAAAATAAAACCGACATAATGTTACTTGAAAGCATTATAGCCTATTCCTGCCACACTCCCATGGTTACAGTGAGTAGTGTTACTACAGTAAACCCATGGTGAATGTTGCTGATCTGTGGACACTGGATAGTTCATTCATGGCACAATGTTTCTTCCTGGTTTCCACGTCAGCGCTGTTTGATCCGTTAATAACAGAGAAATGTGAATGTTTCTCTCTAGATCTCGCAGCGATGTTATTACTTCAGTTGCGAATTCAAATGTTTGCTTCACTGGATTTGGCTGTGTAGTAACAGTGCTAATGATGAAGATCGGCTCGCGCTGCTTTGGTCCAAACTGATAAACGGTCCGTCAACCACACAATAACGAGTGGTTTCGTTCCGCTTACATTTGCCATTTGATGTTGGGCAATGTTGTGGTCACGCCAGCGTCTCTTCATTATGAGCGCGCTTGCCACGCGTGACGCGCCTACATTTGAAATAACGAAATTTTGCTCGGCAGGAAAAATGGTCCAAAAATGCGTACCGAAAACCGAACCGAAAGCCTCGTATCGAACGGTTCAATACGAATACGTGTATCGTTACACCCCTAATATATATATATATTTTATGAATTAACCAGAGCAAGAGAGAGAGAGAGAGAGAGAGAGAGAGAGAGAGAGAGAGAGAGAGAGAGAGAGAGAGAGAGAGAGAGAGAGAGAGAGAGAGAGAGAGAGAGAGTGTGTGAGAGAGTGTGTATGTGAGAGAGAGAGAGAGAGAGAGAGAGAGAGAGAGAGAGAGAGAGAGAGAGAGAGAGAGAGAGAGAGAGGAGAGAGAGAGAGAGAGAGAGAGAGAGAGAGAGAGAGAGAGAGAGAGAGAGAGACTAATAGTGAAGTTTGTTGGTATAATTAATTACAGTGAAGTTATCGCCTCATTGCTGAGAAATATAATGTAGCTTTCAGTAGCGAAGCGGTTTTATTTATAAACGTCACGGTCAGAAGTTGAAAACCAGATCCTGAACGGTTTGGTGTTCGTGCAATTTATTTTCTTTACAAATAAAGTTCCCACCTCAATATAAAGCTGTGAGCGAGCGCACACACACGTCTGCCTCACAATACAACATTATAAAGCTATCTTTGTGAATAAACGTGTCGTCCTTGTCTTGTAGTGGCTTTTAATTCAAATGGGAATCGGATATGTGTGTTTAGAAGCGGGTCGGATACCCAGATATCGGATATGAATCTGATTTAAATCCACATTTGGAAGTGCCTCAGATCGGATGCAGAAGAAACAGATTTTTGTGTTTACACGTGTGCAACAAACTCCGATCTGTGTCAGATGCGAGTAAAAGATCGGATATTTCGTGCCAGTGTAAACGCAGCCGGATCAGATACAATTCAATAAAACTAACCATATATAACAGCAGAATAAATAGACTCGTTAACTTTACAAAGGGAGCAGAAAACTCTTCCTATAGTGCTGTTGATGTCAAAGATTGTGTGCATCAAACTCCACACTATTTCGGCACAATTGTATGTTAGCTACCTGGTAAAAGTCAAGACATCATCCTCAAACACCATGAACGAAACATCAAGACAAAGAAAATATAACCCAGATGATATTAAATACATTAGACCTCGCTCACAGAGAACGAAGATGATTTGAGCTCACACACACTGTCTTTGCAATGAACCATTTGCATTAAACCACTTTTCAACGCAGTTTCATATAAGGCATATTAAGGGTCCGCTTTCTATAATATTAATGCATTTCAATGTTTGCTTGTTGCTATTGTAAAGCTCTCCAGTGTGTTGATGATGTAAACTCTTGATTTTAGCAAAAGCCACTGATTTAATGAACTGCTCATCATTACATGTTGACTTCATGAGTGTGTGCCAGTTGTCTGAGTGTGTGTGTGTGTGTGTGTGTGTGTGGTGTTTCCCCAGACGTGACCCTGTTCAGTAACGTTTCATTCCTCGTCACTCTTTTCTAATTGATCGTTAGACTCTGAGAAGATGAAGCTACAGTGAACAGAGCTGAACGTCTCTTTCTTCTCGCCACTGTTTTGAGTTTCATCAGATCACCTGATTCTTTTATTTCTCACAGATTAGATACCAAGTGTCCCGCTGAATAATTAAGAACTTAACGCACCACTAATTAAGATGTTAATTAAAATACCTAGGGATTAATTAGGAGCGGGCTGAGGTGACACAGATGGTGCGAGCTTGTAATTGTGTAACTAGATGATGCTACGAGATAATTAACATGAAAAACATTTACAGTAGATGCTCACGTGAGCTTGTGTTGTCATTGATCTCTGGCTACTAGAGATGGTTAGGGCATGAATATCAATATTAGCTAGATGTGTGATTCATAAAGGAACTTGTTTAACAATATACTCACGTCTGTGTTCGGTTAATCTTCCTTTCTGAACTATAGCAGCCATGTGTGAATACTCTGAAATATCAGAATAACAAGATTTATCTTCATTTGAACAGTGAAAACTGTGAAGCAAACAGGTTTGACACGCAGCCATGTATGAAACTATTTTTTTTTGTCAATGAAATGTACTATATTTTATTTTGATAGTTTGTTTTTAGGGGATTTTTTTATACTTAATTGTAGTTATGCTGTATTTATAATCCATTTATTCACTTTTTGAGCATTGACCTGAAAATGAAATGTCCAACATAAACTCTTATAAATCTTGAATGCTTTCAAGAATCTCTTTTTAAAGACGGCACCGAGGTCTGCCACCCGACCCGAGCCCGACGGGTCCCGAAAAACTCATGGTTTCGGGTCGGGTTTGGGTTAATGTTTAATGAATAGCCTGTAAATAGTTGTGCAACTGCGCAAACTTTGTTTTGAAGTTTAATGTTTGAGTTCCAGAGGAATTTGTGACCGTTTCACCTGTTCAACCTCCTCAAAGGTTCGTAATTAGTAAGCTTGTGCTTTTTCTCGTGTGTGCTGAGGGGGCGATGAGCTTTGGGGAAACGGTGTTTGTACATGTATTTTTTTTAATTATCGTTGCAAGCAATTATAAAATACAGAATATTGCAACAACAAAAAAGGTGTTTACTGTGAGAAACGCACCTCGGGTTCAGGCTTAAAATATGACCGTAATGGTCGGGTCGGGTTAAATGATTTCGGGTACGGGCCGGGTTAAAAACTTTTAAAAGTAACAAAATTTTACATGTATTGTTATGAAAAATCCACAAAAATACTATTTTAAATTTTTATATGAAATATATATTTTCAAAATCACGTCTTACTCTAAAACTGCAAGAAAATCAAAGCCATAAATCTAAACAAGCTGTGTCCCGAATCTGAGGCTGATCTCTCAGTAATCGAGCGTTCAGTGAGTGTGTGCGGCTGCAGTACCGAACGCTTCCACTAGAGGAAACTCTCCATTCATTTACAATGCGCTCATTTTCCACCGCGAACAATACAAGTGTGACTATTCTTTTCAGGACCATTTAACCTTTTAAAATCATGTCCAAGACTTTTTTTTATACGTGTTCACACAGCAAGTGTCAAAACCTTTACCAAGTTTCGAACCATTCCGTTTAAAAAAAATTTTTTTTTATAAGAGCACCAGATGAACACTGTAAATGAGCACTTGAATAAATGCCTCACAATTGTGTGTATAAGGTTGGAAAAGTTAGTACTACAAAAAATTTCAGTGATCAGCGACAAATTATATTTGGCCACAAGTCTTTAAAAGAGTCTCGATGTCAGCGCCATATTTCACGGCTTCACTTTTCACCAATAGAAGAGAGTGAAGGGGCGTCGTCCATCTTTCTTTACAGTCTTTGATCAGCGCTGGGTAATTCTGGCCCAGATCTCTTGAAGACTCTCGCTGCTGGCCGGCGGACCGCTAACCGACGTCACGTACCCCGGATAGCGCTCGAAAAACTCGGGAGCGGGACAAGTCGGGCTCACCTGTGCCTCGTCAGGCGAGGACACGAGTGGAATCAGTTTGGCGTGAGCGTAATCGATCTCAAAGCCCTCGAAAATAAGCCCCACCCCCCAGGCCCCAAGCCCCGCCTCCAGGAGCCGGGACACCTTCCGAGCCGCGAGCACCATCCGGATGTACTCGCTCTCCTCCAATCGGAAGACATCACTGGATAACGGCTTACGGGGAACCAGAACAGTGAGTCCAGGTGTGTTGGGAAACGGCGTGAGGAACGCGACATGTTCGTCGTCTTCCCAAATTCGCCAGTGCTTTTCTTCTCCGCGGATGATGCGCGGGAACAACCCGGAGTCGGAGGATTCGCCGAGAAAGGTGTGGTTTAAAGGTGCGTTCGGTTCGGGAAGATGAACACGGATGCGATTCTTAACCGCCTCTAGATCGGCGTCGGTCCAGCGCGGCCCGCTTCTGGAACTGATGTACCCGGGATCGAACGCTTGGAAGTCCTCGTCCGGGGCGAGGTGAGCTTTCCAGTGGGACTCGAGGCCGTGGAGGGGGACGAGGAGGAGCTCGGCCCGGGCCCGGCTCTGCGGCGTGTGGACCAGAGCGCAGCGCTGAACACACAGACTCTCACACAGCAGGAGCGCGACGGTCCTCGCGGCCCGTAACACACGCAGGAACTCGTCCTCGGGGGCGTGGAAGAGGCTGTGTGTGTGAGTGTGTGTGTGCGTGACGACAGCGACCCCTGGTGTCCACGGGGAGGAGTGCAGGAACGCCTGCAGATCTGAGGTCTGCCAGAACACACACTTCTCCTGGAGATCAGACACGCATGAGGACATTCTGGGAGACAGATATTAAAATGATAAATGATAGATTCAATTATTTATTTAGTGGATCTCTGGCTTACAGACACACACACACTCACACACACTTACAGACACACTCTTACAGACACACACTCTCTTACAGACACACACACACTCTCTTACAGACACACACTCACTCACAGACACACACACACTCACTCACTCACTCACTCACAGACACACACACTTACAGACACACTCTTACAGACACACACTCTCTTACAGACACACACACACTCTCTTACAGACACACACACACTCACAGACACACACACACTCACTCACTCACTCACTCACAGACACACACACTTACAGACACACTCACACACATACTGTTACAGACACACTCTCTTACTGACACACACACACACACACACACACACACTCTCTTACAGACACACACTCACACACATACTCTTACAGACACACACAGACATACTCTTACAGACACACACAGACATACTCTTACAGACACACTCACACACATACTCTTACAGACACACACTCTCTTACAGACACACACATTCACATTCATACTTTTACAGACACACACTCACTCACAGACACACACACACTCTCTTACAGACACACACACACACTCACAGACACACACACTCACAGACACACACACTTACAGACACACTCACACACATACTGTTACAGACACACTCTCTTACAGACACACACACACACACACGCACTCAGAGACACACACACTTACAGACACACTCACACACATACTGTTACAGACACACACTCTCATACAGACACACACACATACTCTTACAGACACACTCACACACACTTTCTTAGAGACACACTTACAGACAAACAATCACACTCTTACAGACACACACTCACTTTCACTCACTCTCTCTCTCTCTCTCTCTCTCTCTCTCTCTCTCTCTCTCTCTCTCTCTCTCTCTCTCTCTCTCTCTCTCTCTCTCTCTCTCTCTCTCTCTCACACACACACACAGTCAGACATTTCTGTACCTTCCTAATAAGCTTCCGAGTATCACAGCACAACTGTTAAAAACCCACCGCTGACTTATTTTCATTAGCATCTGACTGAGAAACAACACGGTAAAGACACGAACAGCTCGAGCTCAAACTGACTTCCGCGTGACCATCTCTCTCCATCCTGAATATCCTGAGGAACAGCGCCTCCTGCCGGCCGGAAGCGGAACTGCGGCGTGAGTTTACACTCGTCCACCAGGGGGCGCCAAAGCCTCAGAGAGTGAGAGTCCAGAAGCGCGTCATCGCAACAGCTCCGGGAGAAAGGCGTCCATTTGCTCTCTGTACAAGAGAATCAGTATAAGTGATTACCTAATGTAAATATTCTCATTTGTAGTTCTCTACTAATGTAAATCTTTTTTTCTTTTTCTCATCTTTCATATAACCTTACAATGACATTTAACATCCAACATAAGCCAAACAGATATTGGGGAAAACATATAACAAATCTTACATTGTACAGAGTAAAACATTAAATTCTACAAATTATTTTTTTAAATATAAGAGATGTTTTTATACACTTCTTATTTAAAGTGAGTGATTGAATTCAATGAGTCGTAGAATATTTTAAGATCTTTACACTAAACCGGCAGTGTTACAGTTACAGTAAAACAATAATAATAAAAACCTTGCACATTTCATTTAGTCAATAAACAGAATAATATCTATTCACAATTATTTCCTTAGAGTGCATGACTCATGGGTTTCTGGTTTGTTTGACTGAACCGGTGAAATCCGGTTAGAGCGTGTTAAAACCACACACACACACACACACACACACACACACACACACACACACACACACACACACACACACACAAGAGTGAATCACACACTCCCTAATGACTCTCTCTCTCTCTCTCTCTCTCTCTCTCTCTCTCTCTCTCTCTCTCTCTCTCTCTCTCTCTCTCTCTCTCTCTCTCTCTCTGACTGTTCAGTCTTAACGTGGTTTGTTGGGATAAATAAAACGTGTTATAAAAGCACTTTGAAATACAAATAAAATAGTGCAAGACGACGTCATGGGGGGGGGGGGGGGGGGGGGGGCAGACTGTGATCTGCCTTCTGTGAAAGTCAGATTTGACTGTATATAAAACAATTAAATAAATGTAAATAAAAACAATACTATCGACACATTAACAATTTGCTCTTACCCTGTGAAGTGTCACTGTAAACTAATAAACTGAGTTGAAATCTGATTCTCACACAGGGTAAGCTCTGTCTCTCTCTCTCTCTTCCTCATACGCACGCGCGCGCGCGCATACACACACACACACACGCACGCACACACTCTCTCTCTCTGTCTCAGTCGAGTCTGATTCAGAGGATCAGCGAGTTAAACACATCATCTGTGAACACAACTCGTTTCACTGCAGACTAATGACTGATTTATGTTAATGACACAGTTATGTTCATATAACCCAAAGGGTCAAAACTGGACTGTGTTAAAAACACACACACACACACACACACACACACACACACACACACACACTCTCTCTCTCTCTCCTCTCTCTCTCTCTCTCTCTCTCTCTCTCTCTCTCTCTCTCTCTCTCTCTCTCTCTCTCTCTCTCTCTCTCTCTCTCTCTCAGACACTCACACACACCCTTAATCTCTTGATGAAGATAATGTGGTATTAACCCACTAAACTGAGGAACAGTCGATCAGATTCTGTCCTTTCTGTCTCTGAAACACACACTGCAGGTCAGAGTGAAGATCTCACAGCGATTTCTTTGACTGTGTGTGTGTGTGTGCAGTTTGTTACAAGAACGGATGTCCAGGATTCGGCTCACACACCCGTGAGAAACCTGCAGTTCAGACTAAACACACATTCATCTGTTCCTCAGTCACACGAGAAAATTCTCATACACACTCATACACACACACACACACACACACACACACACACACACACACACACACACACACACACACACACACACACACACACACACACACACACACACACACACACACACACACACACACACTCATATACACTCAAACACACATACATACAGACAAACTCTCATATACACTCAAACACACACACACTAATACACATTACACACTCCCACTCATTCATAAAAACAAACACACACACAAACTCTCATATACACTCAAACACACACACACACACGCACACACACTCACACACACACACTAATACACATTACACACTCCCACTCATACATAAACACACACACACACTGACTCACTCACATACACACTTACAAATACACACACACACACACACACACACAAACTCTCAGATACACTCAAACACACAAACTCTCATACACACTCAAACACACACACACACACACACACACACACAATCATACATACACACTTACACACACTCACTCATACACACACAAACTGTCATACACACACACACTAACTCTCATATACATTCATTCAAACACCCACACAAACACTCATACATACACTTACAAATACACACACTAACAAATAAACACACCATACACTCTCTCTCTTTCTGACACACACACACACACACCATACGCTCGCTCTCTCTCTCTCTCTGACACACACACACCAGGTAACTCAGGATAAACCCCGTGTGTGATCATGCGTGTGATCAGTAAGGTCACAGTGGACTGAGACAGTAATACTCGAGCACTAGAGGAGTAAACCCCGATGACGTTCAGAGAGTGTGTGTGAGAGAGTGTGAGTGTGTATGTGTGTGAGAGTTTGTATGTGTGTGTAATGTGTATTAGTGTGTGAGAAATGTGTATTAGTGTGTGAGATTGTGAATGTGTATTAGTGTGTGTGTGTTCTTGAGGCGGAGGTGATCAGTATTAGAGCTCCTGTGTGAGATCAGGAACACACACACACACACAGGGGCGTAGCAGCCATTATAAAAGTGGGGGGGACAAAATGGTGTGGTGATGTGACCCAAAGGTCAGTCCTTCCAGAAAAATGCGGAGTTTTTTTGTGATTGTTGCGGGCAAAAATCCTTGATTATGCGGCGATGGAATATGCAGGATATTTGCAATTTTATGTGATGAAATTGCGGGAACTTACAAAAACTGCGGTTTGATGAAAAAGAGAGAAAAAGTGATTCCCCAACACCCTGTTCTCACTAGGCTACTACCTTAATGTAAAGAGCTATTTCTTATTACTTCCTATGATAAGCAAACATACTACATCACAGAAAGTGCTGGAATATTTAATCTTGTTTTATTTCAGACCTTAATAAACACATGGCTCAAACTTACAAAACATTGATGAGTCAAACAAGTTCTGTAGCTTTACAAAAGGAATATGCTACAACTTCAGTAAAAATGAATAAATAAAATATGAAAAAAATGTTTCCTGTTTTACAGTTTTTTTTTTCAATGATGTTCATGTCGCGTAATTACGTCACTTCATAACGTTCCCATGGCAACAGGGGGAAACGGCTGCTCTCGTGTGAAGCAAACGCAACATTTTTCAACTTTCTGCTAAGATGTATGTGACTTTTTTTTGCAACAAAAATGCGGGGATTATGAAATCATACAAGCCCCGCATATTCTGCGTGGAAATCGGCAATTTATACGGCAAAAGTGCGGCGTATTTGAAAAAATGCCCCCGCATAAATATGCAGACTTTGGCTGATTATTGAATCATGCGATCGCATAATCGCGTTTTTCTGGAGGGACTGAAAGTTGATGTTCATAATAATAAATTCTAGATGGAATAGCAATTGGCATTTTACAGCACCCTAGTGCCAATTTTGGGAACATGCCATGATAGTTTACAGCAACCTATTTTTGTGAAATCATACTCGAAATAAAAAAAATATTGCAGGACTTGGGACTTTCAGACAACTGTGGACATCTATACTTTATTTTTATGAAATAAAGATATTTTATGATATTTACAATATTTCAGTTAAACTACACTTGAACAATAGGCCTAACTTTTATCTTACTAACAGTTGGACCAAAAAAAGTGTTCAATGAGTACATAACAGATTACATATAGCCTACAGTAATTTTATACAACAGACATTTTATAAAAAAATATATCAATAAAACCTAAATCAATGTATTCGGTATTGGACATCAATTTAACATTGACATTAGATGTTGAATTTACATTGAATTTTGGTCACCCCGACGTCGCAACCAAAATTTAACCAAATATCAACGTCTTATGACGTTGTGTGCCTGCTGGGAATAATCTGTTATGTCTCATTTAACAGACGCTTTTATCCAAAGCAACAGGTAGGAGAGCATTTAACACACACTCGGCACAATCCGGCGCGACGTGACGAGGTCCATACGGGTTCTGTTGTCTTACACTTCTTACAGCGTTACAGTAGGTTAAATCATAATAAGGAAACTTTACGTGTGATTCATGTCATCGCGACATACTGTAACAGTGTGTGTTTGAAAAAAAAATAATGTAGTCCTCTGCTTTTTTTCTGGGGTGCATTAGACGGCCAAACAGCAAAGCGACTAAACAAACACGAAAATTCGCAAGAGCAACAACAGATTTGAAGCTCATGGCAGACGCGCCCAATAGATGCTTCGCGCTGTGATTGGCTGAATGTTAGCTCACTCAAGTCTAAGTAACAAATCAGAGAACACGGGCGGAAATATTGGCGCGGAGTAAAAAAAAATGCGGGGGACAGAATCACCTGTTTCTAAAAGTGGGGGGGACGTGTCCCCCCCGGTTGCTACGCCCCTGCACACACACACACGTGTGTGAGATCAGGAACACACAGACACATACACACACACACGTGGAGGCGTAGTGGAAACCACAGCTGTGTGTGTTTGGGCTGTAAACTCCATTACACACACTTACAACATCAGCTCCTGAGGGGTTTCCCGTGCACCCTTGAACAGTGTGTGTACTATACATATATAAACACACACACACATATATATGAAAACTAGTGAGTAACGTAACCCATTACACAACACACTGTAGGAAATATAAGCGGACTACTTTATGATTTTGGATTCCTTTTGACTTTTAGGAAACAGATTACATAGATTTGAACGGGATAATCTACTATAGTCACATAAAACTAAAATGTGTTGAAAATCATCAACAAAATGAAGCACATTAAACATTACCAGCTGGTGTTTGTGATGGAACTGCAGGCGTTTGCGAGTTTATGAAAAGGTAAAGCATAAATGTGTACAATTTAAAAATGAAGATACAGTCTGAGAGAGGGTGTGTGTGTGTGTGTGCTGAGGTCTCTTGACTGGTGTAACTCCAACAAAATATTTAAAAGAAAAATATTTACTGCCATTTTGTGAACATTAAGTAATAATGTAACCAATAAAAAAGTAAGCAGTCTCAGTTATGACCATTATAAAATGTAATATTGAACTACAATATAATTTAGAATCTGATGATGTAATCCAGCCGAGTTAAGTTATACACTAATAACTGTCAAGATGTTTGAGGTAAAATTTTAGGCAAAAATGTGAACAATGAGCAAAACATGTTATAAAATATTGGAGAGCAGATTCAGACACAAGCGTTGCGTTTGATGGCGTCTTTAATAGAAAACAGTGAAGAGATTTAACAACACACTCCATGACAGAGCTAGCATGTTTAGCTAGTTTTAAATAGCATATTTACAAGCAACAGGTTCAGTGTAACAACTGTGATGATGCGGCCCCTTGCTGGACGAGGATGAATCAGAGAGTTTAATAGTGCAGACGGTCTCCAGTGTTCGACCAGAACCTAACCGGACCCGGCAGAACAGCACCGGACCAGAACCTAACCGGACCCGGCAGAACCCTGGGCTTTAGCTTTGCTCCTGCGGTTGTTGGCGGACCGAACTTCCTCCATGAGATCCGTGAGATATTTGATTTCCCGACTGATGGACTCTGCTTTCTCCGCCAGCTCGCGGTTCCTCTTCTCCAAGTCGGAGCACTCGTGGGACAGAACCTCCTGCTCGGCCCGCTTCTTCTGCCGGTACCCGGGTCGCGGCAGTCTTATTCTGCTCCATCTTCTTTAGCTTCTTCTCCACGACTTTAGGAGCGCCGGGAACGGCCTTCACTCGGCCGGTGACGACTGGATCCGGGTCGGTTCTGGAGTAGGGTTTGGTCCTGGAGGATCCTGCGGGATTCGGATCTGGTTGGTGAGTCGGGGATTCCGACACTGAGATTCCACTATCGCTATCGGATGAATCGTCGGTGCTGCTCGCCTCCTCTTTCGGGCTCAGAACCACCACGATGTGAGATGGACTCAGACTGAGCATGATCCCGGGAGTCCGAAGCACGGACACTTCACTTCCAAGATCTAACGTGTCGGCCGGATCAGGCTCGGATTTGATCTCGACGGGGGTTTGCGATGGTTCTGGGACGGGAAGGTCGAGGGTCAGCGCCAGACCCAGATCTGAGGAGCAGAACGGGAGGGAGTCCAGGTCCAGATCCATGTCAGTGTCCAGGCAGGCCAGCAGATCTTCTGGAGAACTGGGCGGCTCGTCCGAGTCACATGACCCGATCAGAGAATCCAGGTCGAAGTCACTCAGGTCTAATTTCTCCGTCATCCAATCCATGCCAGAGAACACATCGCCTGTTAGAGAGAGAGAGGGGGAGAGAGAGAGGGAGGGAGAGAGAGGGGGAGAGAGAGATAGAGAGTTTATTAAATGCAATGCATTTGTGCTACCAGTTATGAACTGGAATAAGCCACACAAACACTGCAGTAACTAATGGTTGTTTATTATTATTATAATATCATTAGGAAACTAATATAGTTTTCAGTAATATTTTGAATTTTTATTTTAGTTAAAGTTCAAACTTTAAAAGTTTCTGCCATTTTTATTAGATTTAATCATGTCTGGTTTTTATGTATATTTCAGTTTTAATCAAAATAAACTGCATGAAAATCACAAAATCAAATCAAAATGTGTGTGTGTGTGCAGTGAAGTCACCCAGTGTGTGTGTGTGCAGTGAAGTCACCCAGTGTGTGTGTGCGCATTGAAGTCACCCAGTGTGTGTGTGCGCAGTTAAGTCGACCAGTGTGTGTGTGTGCAGTGAAGTCACCCAGTGTGTGTGTGTGCAGTGAAGTCACCCAGTGTGTGTGTGCGCAGTGAAGTCACCCAGTGTGTGTGTGCGCAGTTAAGTCGACCAGTGTGTGTGTGTGCAGTGAAGTCACCCAGTGTGTGTGTGCGCATTGAAGTCACCCAGTGTGTGTGTGCGCAGTTAAGTCGACCAGTGTGTGTGTGTGCAGTGAAGTCACCCAGTGTGTGTGTGTGCAGTGAAGTCACCCAGTGTGTGTGTGCGCAGTGAAGTCACCCAGTGTGTGTGTGCGCAGTGAAGTCACCCAGTGTGTGTGTGCGCAGTGAAGTCACCCAGTGTGTGTGTGTGCAGTGAAGTCACCCAGTGTGTGTGTGCGCAGTGAAGTCACCCAGTGTGTGTGTGCGCAGTGAAGTCACCCAGTGTGTGTGTGCGCAGTTAAGTCGACCAGTGTGTGTGTGTGTGCAGTGAAGTCACCCAGTGTGTGTGTGTGTGTGCAGTGAAGTCACCCAGTGTGTGTGTGTGTGTGCAGTGAAGTCACCCAGTGTGTGTGTGTGCAGTGAAGTCACCCAGTGTGTGTGTGTGCAGTGAAGTCACCCAGTGTGTGTGTGTGCAGTGAAGTCACCCAGTGTGTGTGTGTGCAGTGAAGTCACCCAGTGTGTGTGTGTGCAGTGAAGTCACCCAGTGTGTGTGTGTGCAGTGAAGTCACCCAGTGTGTGTGTGCGCAGTGAAGTCACCCAGTGTGTGTGTGCGCAGTTAAGTCGACCAGTGTGTGTGTGTGTGCAGTGAAGTCACCCAGTGTGTGTGTGTGTGCAGTGAAGTCACCCAGTGTGTGTGTGCGCAGTGAAGTCACCCAGTGTGTGTGTGCGCAGTGAAGTCACCCAGTGTGTGTGTGCGCAGTGAAGTCACCCAGTGTGTGTGTGTGCAGTGAAGTCACCCAGTGTGTGTGTGCGCAGTGAAGTCACCCAGTGTGTGTGTGCGCAGTGAAGTCACCCAGTGTGTGTGTGCGCAGTGAAGTCACCCAGTGTGTGTGTGCGCAGTGAAGTCACCCAGTGTGTGTGTGCGCAGTTAAGTCGACCAGTGTGTGTGTGTGCAGTGAAGTCACCCAGTGTGTGTGTGTGCAGTGAAGTCACCCAGTGTGTGTGTGCGCAGTGAAGTCACCCAGTGTGTGTGTGCGCAGTGAAGTCACCCAGTGTGTGTGTGCGCAGTTAAGTCGACCAGTGTGTGTGTGTGCAGTGAAGTCACCCAGTGTGTGTGTGCGCAGTGAAGTCACCCAGTGTGTGTGTGCGCAGTTAAGTCGACCAGTGTGTGTGTGTGCAGTGAAGTCACCCAGTGTGTGTGTGTGCAGTGAAGTCACCCAGTGTGTGTGTGCGCAGTGAAGTCACCCAGTGTGTGTGTGCGCAGTTAAGTCGACCAGTGTGTGTGTGTGTGCAGTGAAGTCACCCAGTGTGTGTGTGTGCAGTGAAGTCACCCAGTGTGTGTGTGCGCAGTTAAGTCGACCAGTGTGTGTGTGTGCAGTGAAGTCACCCAGTGTGTGTGTGCGCAGTTAAGTCGACCAGTGTGTGTGTGTGCAGTGAAGTCACCCAGTGTGTGTGTGTGTGTGTGCAGTGTGTGTGTGTGCAGTGAAGTCACCCAGTGTGTGTGTGTGCAGTGAAGTCACCCAGTGTGTGTGTGCGCAGTTAAGTCGACCAGTGTGTGTGTGTGCAGTGAAGTCACCCAGTGTGTGTGTGCGCAGTTAAGTCGACCAGTGTGTGTGTGCGCAGTTAAGTCGACCAGTGTGTGTGTGTGCAGTGAAGTCACCCAGTGTGTGTGTGTGCAGTGAAGTCACCCAGTGTGTGTGTGTGCAGTGAAGTCACCCAGTGTGTGTGTGTGCAGTGAAGTCACCCAGTGTGTGTGTGCGCAGTGAAGTCGACCAGTGTGTGTGTGTGCAGTGAAGTCACCCAGTGTGTGTGTGTGCAGTGAAGTCACCCAGTGTGTGTGTGTGCAGTGAAGTCACCCAGTGTGTGTGTGTGCAGTGAAGTCACCCAGTGTGTGTGTGCGCAGTTAAGTCGACCAGTGTGTGTGTGTGCAGTTAAGTCGACCAGTGTGTGTGTGCGCAGTTAAGTCGACCAGTGTGTGTGTGCGCAGTTAAGTCGACCAGTGTGCGTGTGTGCAGTGAAGTCACCCAGTGTGTGTGTGCGCAGTGAAGTCACCCAGTGTGTGTGTGTGCAGTGAAGTCACCCAGTGTGTGTGTGTGCAGTGAAGTCACCCAGTGTGTGTGTGTGCAGTGAAGTCACCCAGTGTGTGTGTGTGCAGTGAAGTCACCCAGTGTGTGTGTGCGCAGTTAAGTCGACCAGTGTGTGTGTGTGCAGTTAAGTCGACCAGTGTGTGTGTGCGCAGTTAAGTCGACCAGTGTGTGTGTGCGCAGTTAAGTCGACCAGTGTGTGTGTGTGCAGTGAAGTCACCCAGTGTGTGTGTGTGCAGTGAAGTCACCCAGTGTGTGTGTGTGCAGTGAAGTCACCCAGTGTGTGTGTGTGCAGTGAAGTCACCCAGTGTGTGTGTGCGCAGTGAAGTCGACCAGTGTGTGTGTGTGCAGTGAAGTCACCCAGTGTGTGTGTGTGCAGTGAAGTCACCCAGTGTGTGTGTGTGCAGTGAAGTCACCCAGTGTGTGTGTGTGCAGTGAAGTCACCCAGTGTGTGTGTGCGCAGTTAAGTCGACCAGTGTGTGTGTGTGCAGTTAAGTCGACCAGTGTGTGTGTGCGCAGTTAAGTCGACCAGTGTGTGTGTGCGCAGTTAAGTCGACCAGTGTGTGTGTGCGCAGTTAAGTCGACCAGTGTGTGTGTGTGCAGTTAAGTCGACCAGTGTGTGTGTGTGCAGTTAAGTCGACCAGTGTGTGTGTGCGCAGTTAAGTCGACCAGTGTGTGTGTGTGCAGTTAAGTCGACCAGTGTGTGTGTGTGCAGTTAAGTCGACCAGTGTGTGTGTGCGCAGTTAAGTCGACCAGTGTTTGTGCAGTGAAGTCACCCAGTGTATGTGTGCGAAGTGAAGTCGTCTAGAGTGTGTGCAGGGAAGTCTTTAGTGAAGCCATCCAATATGTGTGTGTGTGTGCAGTGGTCACCAAGTGTGTATTTGTGTGCGCAGTTAAGTCGACCAGTGTGTGCAGTTAAGTCGACCAGTGTGTGTGTGTGCAGTGAAGTCACCCAGTGTGTGTGTGCGCAGTTAAGTCGACCAGTGTGTGTGTGCGCAGTTAAGTCGACCAGTGTGTGTGTGTGCAGTTAAGTCGACCAGTGTGTGTGTGTGCAGTTAAGTCGACCAGTGTGTGTGTGCGCAGTTAAGTCGACCAGTGTTTGTGCAGTGAAGTCACCCAGTGTATGTGTGCGAAGTGAAGTCGTCTAGAGTGTGTGCAGGGAAGTCTTTAGTGAAGCCATCCAATATGTGTGTGTGTGTGCAGTGGTCACCAAGTGTGTATTTGTGTGCGCAGTTAAGTCGACCAGTGTGTGTTTGTGCAGTTAAGTCGACCAGTGTGTGTGTGCGCAGTTAAGTCGACCAGTGTGTGTGTGCGCAGTTAAGTCGACCAGTGTGTGTGTGCGCAGTTAAGTCGACCAGTGTGTGTGTGCGCAGTTAAGTCGACCAGTGTGTGTGTGCGCAGTTAAGTCGACCAGTGTGTGTGTGCGCAGTTAAGTCGACCAGTGTGTGTGCGCAGTTAAGTCGACCAGTGTGTGTGTGCGCAGTTAAGTCGACCAGTGTGTGTGTGCGCAGTTAAGTCGACCAGTGTGTGTGTGCGCAGTTAAGTCGACCAGTGTGCGTGTGTGTAGTCCTCACCTTTACTCTGCCCTGGCTCAGATCGAGGAGTCCAGGAGAGCGACTGCAGCTCTTTACACCCTACAGAAGCGTGAGGAGAGGGAGAGAGGGGCGAGAGACATGAGGAAGAGGAGAGGGGTGAGGAAGACCCTGCAGAGAGAGCGCGCTCCTCGTCTTCGTCCAGCAGGGGCCCGAAGGGGTCAGCCGTCAGAGATGAGGGCCCCAGGATCAGGGCCTCCACACTCAGAGACATGGCAGAGGCTCAGTGTGTGATGATGGGGATGAAGGTGAAGGGGTTCGAGCGAGTGTGTGTGTGTGAACGCGGTGGTTATGCTGTCTACAGCAGCAGAGCTGTGGGTGGAGGACACGGGAGACCTGGAACACAACATCAGGGCATTAGGGACCAAAACACTCTTACATCTGAACATTTCTACATTTATTCAGACTCCTTCAACATCTCACATTATCTCAGTTTATTCGCTATAGTTTTGAAAATGGTAATAAATATGACAAGAACTCAGTTGATATTTGACTGGTTTTGTCCGTCCTTCTGTTAAACTCTCACACATGAATTATGTTGAATATGTCAGTTGTTAAATTTAAAGGCCAATAATCTTGAGTATTCTAGTAATTTTGAGGATGGAAAATATCTGGAGGGCGTAAACGGCATTCACACACATTATTAATCACGCGGTTAAAAATAAAGTTCAACGGCAACAGGTGTCCACATCTGTGAGCTGCATCAGCACTTAAACGCTCATTCATTATTTAAAAATTTGTTAATTTTAATATAGTACTATGACGAATGCAGGTGTTTCTCAAAGGTTAACGTTAACACCCGAACTTACATGAAAGTTTTTTTTTTTTTTGGTAGAACTGGTTCTGGTTGCCCAACCCTTGCTGGAGGGAAGATTTAACACAACAAAAACTGGCCCTTATTTCATAAAGGAAATAAAACTTCCCTAATCTTAACCAGTTGTGAATATCAGCACCATAAACCAGTTTATCCAGTCTCTAAACTGCATTAAGGAATTCAAGTATAGCCCATTAAAAAAACACCCTACAAATTTACTTCCCCAATATTTACCAACCCTAAACTCCTCCTCACAACTATATTTAATTTAACCCAGTTAGTAAAACGGATCTGGGCAGGAATTTCCCCGCCCTTCCCGACAACATTTCCTAATATGGTCATAAGACCGGTTATCCCCGCCCCTTTGTTCCTGCAAATGATGACGTGTCATTGACGACCTCGCGCCATTTCCAGCGCTCACTATGGGGCCCCGGTCACGCGGAAAGAGCGCGCGCGCCATTTTGTGGTGCCACGTTGCCGTTAAAAAGTCCCGATTGTTTATTTTTATGGATAAGCGCGTGTCAGTCAGTCAAAACAAAACGGACGAATCAAAACAAACGGAGATCGTTTGAGAACACACTATAGTCAGCAACACCGTATTGTTGAACGTCAAATTCCGTTAGTTTAACAAATACAACAGCTTTTCAAAAGTTGGACGAGTTTATGACAATCCGTATTATTACACCACTACATCAAATGTCAAGAGATGAGATATACTTACGCCATTTTGCCAAAAAGAGCCAGTGCACTTGACCTCTGCACTGCCGGATTCGCCGCCGCGTATGTAGCCGCTGCAAGCCGCTAAACTGCCATGATTCCCGCGGGAGATGTCGCTGTGTGCGGAGAGATGGAGGGCCGGAGAGAGAAAACGTTGTAACGGCGGCGCTTCCGCTTATATACTCACACATCACACCCACACTGTGACCTTCCGCCGCACCCAATCTGCTCGTGTCGCTCCGCCCCGTGTGTGGATGATGATTGGTTTCTGAGCCTGTCAAAATCTAGCAAACAAATAGTTCCTAAATATTTGCGTTCTCAAGGGATGTACGGGTGAAGCTCGAAAAATTAGAATATCATGCAAAAGTTCATTTATTTCAGTAATTCAACTTAAAAGGTGAAAATAATATATTATATAGACTCATTACATGCAAGGTGAGATATTTCAAGCCTTTATTTGTTATAATTTTGATGATTATGGCGTACAGCTTATGAAAACCCCAAATTCAAAATTAGAATATTGTCCAAAGGTTTTCTTAAGCTGTAAGCCATAATCATCAAAATTATAACAATTAAAGGCTTGAAATATCTCACTTTGCATGTATTAGTTTCACCTTTTAAGTTGAATTACTGAAATAAATGAACTTTTGCACGATATTCTAATTTTTCGAGTTTCTGTAGATCATGTATGATGAGCTCAGACAGGAAACAGAAAGGAACCGGGGTTAAATTAGATAGATAATGCAAATAAATAACTGATTTTAAAAGTGATAGCTATGAAAGGTTGGCAAAGAGGTAATTCTAAATGATTATTCCTGCTCGTATGCTCAGATGATTCATTATGGATTGGAGAAAGAATGGCATTAAAATTAAAATACACATGAAATTTAATCAAACAGCAATTCAATTTCAGGAAAAAGGTTTTATTAATATTTGACACTTTTGCAAACATACAGCATAGAATAGGGGTGGGCGAGGCACAACCTGTAACACACTTGTTTGAAATACTTTTAATAATTTAAATAATAATTACTATGTTTTGTGTAATAGCTGTGTTTTGTGGTGTGCTTGTTGTCAAACTCAAAAATGTGTTTATTTTTAAATATTAAAATTAAAAACGTAATAATTGTATTTTGAGAAAACTTAAATGCGGGAAAAAATAAATACTCTGCACCCTATACTTAGGTCTACAAACTATAGTTTGTATAAATGTTTAAAATGTTATCTGATCTAATAAAAAATATATACAAGACAAACTAAAATGTTTTCTCAATGAAATACAATTATCAAGTTTTTCATATAAAATAATGACATTTTTTTTAATAATTAAAAATAAACTAATTTTAAGAAAGTCAAAAGCGTTGTTTTGTGCCCCGCTCTCCCCAACATGTCACACGAGATAAGAAATTGCACGAGACCCTATATAAAGCCACCATTAATTAATAACTTGTTCACCATTATACAATATTATAACACCAAACCAGTCCAGTCACATCTCATTATCAATTAGACTGTTGAACATTGATCAGCGACGTCTAGCTATTCTTATGTCTATAGTGTGTATGATTTTGTGTAATTGTTTAATGTATCAGATTTTGGTGAAATGCTGGCTATTACAATTCTAGAAGCTGTTAAATAGTGGCAGTGTGGAGCTGTATATGTAATATGTTTTCTTTTTCATATTCCTCTGTTATTTCTGTTCATTTTATTATTGTTGGGGTTTGTTGATGATAGTGTGTTGTTAACCCAAGACAAATTTCCCCATGTGATTTTTTTTTAAAACCTTTTTTTAACCTTTACCTACAAATTTCCATTTCAGGGACAATAAAGTATCATTGACTTAATTTCATATCCCTTCCGAGAGCAGTTTATCTCTCATGTCCATCAGCTCTGTCAGACCGGCCTGAATCTGTCCCGCCACCTCACAGATCTGCTGTGCGAATCTGCTCTTTGCCTCTTTCTTTAACTTTTGGGAATTTTTATCCGTGAAGAACAAATCCATGCCGAGTGCGAACCCCTGAATCACACCGGAGGATCTGTTCATCACGCCGAGAGCCCCCGACGTCCCGCCTGCGATCTCGACTAGCCTCACCATCTCTGCAGTCTTCACCCTCACACCTTTCAGTTTCTCCATCTCTGAGTTGATATCATTCAAGTAAACCTCAATGCCGCTCATCTCACTTTGGTACTCTTTCAAGATCGACTCCACCTTTTTCCGGACCTGATTTGTTTTGACTTTCTTGGTGATGGCGGCGGATGCGCCGGTGACCCCGCCGGCGGCCGCGACCCCGACCCCGAGCGCGGCGACCGCTAGAGACGCGCCCATAGTCGCGGGAGCTAGCAGGATTCCCGCCACGACCGCCGCTCCGCCGACCGCTCCGGTCGTTCCTCCGGTGATGCTGGCGATCCTCGCCCCTTTCTGTGTTTTATCCAGGCCTGCGGCCACGGCCTCGAGCTCGGAGATCTGCCTTTGCAGAGAGCTTGCACAAAATGGCAGACGAGAAACATAGCGCTTAAGAGCATTTTTAAAACGTTCCTCTCGGTCCATGTCGGCCCTGCAAAGATAAAAGTGCATAAATGAGTGCATAAATGTATGAAATGAGTGCATAAATGTATAAAATGAGTCCATAAATGTATAAAATGAGTGCAACTCGTGCTACTGTTGAAAATTTTGGCCGATACCGATAACCGATATATTGGCCGATAAATCTAAATCCACATTTTTATAAAAAAATTTAAGAGCCTGTTTGCAAAAACAAAAGTCTCACCATTATAAGCCATGTCCCAAACACACAATTGTGATGTTCTCATTTTAATTTTATGTAGCCGATATGACAGATTTTGCGCTGCACATGTTGCATTGAACATTATTTTCCTTTTTGAAGGGATTCCAATCATATTTCAGCAAATTCAAAAGCATCACGTTGAACAGTCGCATCTGTGTCTCAGCTGAAGGAAATAATACATTATTTATCAGCTTTAATATAACGATAACGATTACAGTAAAAATTAACATACATCGGCCGATACCGATATGGTGGCCGATATATAGTGCATCCCTAGTTGAAATATATACATATATAAATATAAAGAATCTAATGATTTACTTTACCTGGAGTCTGAATCTGATCGATCCATAGATCCTCCTGACACATAAAAAAACACAATTTTCTATTAAGTGTGTTTAACCACAAAATAATTCAGCTTTAACATGTATTATTCCAGTATCTGCTGCATAATTAGATTGTAAAACGTTTGAGTTTATTTTATTACAAATTGTATTTCTATAGCACTTTTCCAAACAAATCAATGCAGTTCAAAGTGCTATACATGCAAAAAACAAACAAACATAGATACAATAGTTTTTTTTTAATTAGACCCATTAAAATACAGGAATTAGAAGTTTATAAGGATTAGCTAAGGCATAAAATAACTGAAAATGAATAAAAACATATTAAATATATATTTTAAAAATGCATCATAAGATATTACAGGAATATGTTTTATGTTTTATATTTTGCATAAATAAAATATGTTTTAATTTATGATTTTTAACTTAAACCCATTCATATTTTCAGCACATCTTACTTCCTCTGGAATGTTATAAGGTTATTGGCTAAAAGAAGGCTAAAAATCATAGTTTTCTATATCATAAAGCTCCTACTCAAACAGAAATGAATATAATTTCAATAAAGGCATTAAAATAAAGTGTTTTGTGTATTTGTCTCTTACCGTTCCCCTTCCAGCTTTTGCTGTCCTGATGGAAAGAGAGCAGAGCTTCAGTCAAATCTGAATATCTTTACATGGTTCGATACAAAATATCAAATCAAGAGTTGTTTATTATAAAAGAAACTACTTTACAGCAAGCTTGAGATGCTATTCTCTACATTCTTGAGCTGAACTTCAGACGTCGACTTTAAAATCACCAAAACACATCAAATATAAGAAGTGACACTTGATCTGATGAATGACAAATACTTTATAATGTATACTTTTATGTCCTTTTATTGAGGTAGAATCATGAAAGTAAATGACCTGCGAGTCCCTGTCCTGAAATCCCCCGTGACCCATCAGATCTGCCATGATAAAGACATCCCTCTGTGTTTTGATCTGGAAACACACATTATGTCATGATTTAACACTGTGTTTACATCTCAAACCTTTCATTAATGACAGTCAACTATTTTAGCTACAGGGTTCGTACACTGTAAAATGAAATTCCAGGACTTTCAAGGAGTTTTCAAGCACTACTTGTTTGGTTTTCAAGGACTTCAATCAGAGATCTTATCAAACAATATCTTTATTATCTTTCAAATTCTAAAAAAGGTAAATAGATAAATAAAAATAAACCAATAAAAGGTACAAATAAAGTACAGCGGATGCAATGTGGAAACGTTAACTATTGAAAGGATACAATGACAAAGATTATTCCTTATTCAAACTGATTTTTTCTCCCATGAATATTGATCTGAAGAATGAAAGCTGTATCATATACTTGGATATTTATTAGCAATATCACACTCATAGTCATGTAAAATGGCTCTATACCTGTATCAGACGGACTGCAGATTTATTATGTGTGAAAAGGTTGTTTTATCAATAAAATTAAACACTAATAATGTCACGTCTTTCAATAATTCAAGCGCTTTTCAAGAACCTTTTCATAAAGATGGCTGTTTTCAAGGGTTTTCCATGACTTACATTTCAAAAAGTCAAATTCAAGTACCTTGTACGAACCCTGTAGCTAGTTCTGTTATAGCTGTAGTGGAATATTAGTTTTATTTCCATTTTCTGCAGAGTTTAGCTTGCATTACCCCGTGTTCACTGTAGTACTGCTGCGCGGCCAGTCGGTGGCGCTCTGCGCTCTGAAGAGACTCATGCATCCCCACCAACTGCAATGAGAACAATCAACATGTTTACGAACCAGTCAGCACTTTCGTGATGTTTACGTGTAATTTAAATGCTTAACTCCATTAATGAGAATGGCATATTTAATCTAAATGTGTATAGGTGTAAAACATATTTTATTTATTTAAACTTAATGTGAACATGCACTGTATTTATGATTAGGACTCATAATGAGGATTTAAAGTGTTTTTCCTTCATCAGTCCCTCAGATCTCCATCGGTGTCGCCAAAACGTTCGTACTGCGCATGATCAGAGTTTGCGTGTAGGAGCACATTCTCCCGTCAAGCCTCGTCCAAATACACACACTTGCGGTCTTGGCCATCATGGTAATCATGGTAATATGTTATGGTGTGAAATGACGTCCCCTTTCACGGGCGCTAAACCGCTGTTTGGAAATCGCACATTGAATCTAAACTCTGAGTTTGACACCCATGTTTACAGGAATCCACTGGTCTGACTGGTTCAACTGGTGCTGATCAATCCTCAGTCTGGCACTGCAGAAAGCCTTTCACTTTAAATGCACAATCAAAAGCTTGAACTTTCATAAATATCCTGATAATCAATAAAGATGACAGATTCTCTCACCTTGCAGGGCTCTGGAGCACATTGCCTCATTCTCGCTGCTGGGTGAGGAGGAGCAGAAGGCTGAAGAACAGATCAGAAATCATTCAAAACCACTGAAGATCCTGAACTACAAAGGCACATTGAGCCGGATCAACTAAAGCCCAGATTAGAAGGAGAAACACTGATCTAGCAGCGTTTCTAATGTCCAAACTCAAAGGAGTGTGTGTAGTTCACTAGTGTGTTTCTGTTTGGAGTTTTATTCTTCTCTTTTAGATTTCAATATTAAGTATTTCAGTGAAAATGTGATTCATATCAATGGCATTTGTAAAAAATGTGATTCATATCAATGGATTCGTTTTCACGGATACGTGTGAATTGGGATCGTTTTGACAATGGTGTCGTCTGAACGCGGAAAACTCAAAGGAAAAACTTCTCCGCTTTAAGCATATTGTTGTCGTGTAAACAAACCGTAAGCTCTCAAAAAATTCAACAAGTTGTAGTTGCGAGTTCTACGAGGACATTGACGCTTTTTACGAGAAGTTGGAATCTCATAATCATGGTAATATAACTAATATGTTATGGTGTGAAATGACGTCCCCTTTCAAGAGCTCAACATTTTTGGTCAAATATGGACAAACCCAAACGTTGGGTCCATCCATCCATCCATCCATCTTCGTCCGCTTATCTGGGGCCGGGTCGCGGGGGCAACAGTCTAAGCAGAGATGCCCAGACTTCCCTCTTCCTAGACACTTGCTCCAGCTCTTCCGGGGGGACACCGATGCGTTCCCAGGCCAGCCAGGAGACATAGTCCCTCCAGCGTGTCCTAGGTCTTTACCGGGGCCTCCCCCCGGTGGGACGTGCCCGGAACACCTTCCCGGGAAAGCGTCCGGGAGGCATTCAGAACAGATGCCCGAGCCACCTCAGCTGACCCTCTCGATGTGGAGGAGCAGCGGCTCTACTCTGAGCTCCTCCCGAGAGACCGAGCTCCTCACCCTATCTCTAAGGGATCACCCAGCCACCCTGCGGAGAAAGCTCATTTCGGCCGCCTGTATCTGGGATCTTGTCCTTTCGGTCATGACCCAAAGCTCATGACCATAGATGAGAGTAGGAACGTAGATTGACCGGTAAGTCGAGAGCTTCGCCTAGCGGCTCAGCTCTTTATTTACCACGACAGACCGGTACATCGACCGCATTACTGCAGAAGCTGCACCGATCCGTCTGTCAATCTCCCGTTCCATCCTTCCCTCACTCGTGAACAAGACCCCAAGATACTTGAACTCCTCCACTTGAGGCAGGAACTCTCCACCAACCTGAAGTGGGCAAGTAACCCTTTTCCGACTGAGAACCATGGCCTCGGATTTGGAGGTGCTGATTTTCATCCCAGCCGCTTCACACTCGGCTGCAAACCGTCCCAGTGCATGCTGAAGGTCCTGGTCTGAAGGGGCCAGCACGACAACATCATCCGCAAAGAGCAGAGACAAAATCGTGTGGTCCCCAAACCGGACACCCTCCGGCCTGCGCCTAGAAATTCTGACCATAAAAACTATGAACAGAACCGGCGACAAAGGGCAAACCTGCCGTAGTCCAACATGCACCGGGAACAAGTCTGACTTACTGCTGGCAATGCGAACCAAGATCCTGCTCCGGTCGTACAGGGACCGGACAGCCCTTAAAAAAGGGCCCCGGACCCCGTACTCCCGGAGCACCCTCCACAGGACGCCGCGAGGGACACAGTCGAATGCCTTCTCCAAATCCACAAGGCACATGTGGATTGATTGGGCAAACTCCCATGAACCCTCCAGCACCCTGTAGAGGGTATAGAGCTGGTCCAGTGTTCCCCGGCCGAGACGAAAACCGCACTGTTCCTCCTGAATCCGAGGTTCCACTATCGGCCGTATTCTCCTCTCCAGTACCCTGGCATAGACTTTCCCGGGGAGGCTGAGAAGTGTGATCCCCTATAGTTGGAACACACCCTCCGATCCCCCTTCTTAAAAAGAGGGACCACCACCCTGGTCTGCCATCCCAAAGGTACTGTCCCCGACCACCACGCGATGCTGCAGAGGCGTGTCAACCAAGACAGCCCCACAACATCCAGAGACTTGAGGTATTCAGGGCAGATCTCATCCCCCAAACCCCCCCACCCCCCGGAGCCTTGCCACCGAGGAGTTTCTTGACTACCTCGGTGTCTTCAGCTTGGGTGATGGGCCAGTCCACCTCTGAGCCCTCAGCCTCTGCTTCCTTAATGGAACACGTGTCGGTGGGATTGAGGAGATCCTCGAAGTATTCTTTCCACCGTCCAACGACATCCCTAGTTGAGGTCAACAGCTGCCCACCTCCACTGTAAACAGCATTGGTAGGGCACTGCTTCCCTCTCCTGAGGCGTTGGACGGTTTGCCAGAATCTCTTGGAGGCCAGCCGGTATTCCTTCTCCATGGCCTCACCGAACTCCTCCCAGGCCCGATTTTTTGCCTCCACAACCATCCGGGCTGCAGTCCGCTTGGACTGCCGGTACCCGTCAGCTGCCTCAGGAGTCCTGCAAGCCAGCCAGGTCCGATAGGACTCCTTCTTCAGCTTGACAGCATCCCTTACTTCCGGTGTCCACCACCGGGTTCGGGGATTGCCGCCTCGACAGGCACCGGAGACCTTACGGCCACAGCTCCGAGCGGCTGCGTCGACAATGGAGGTGGAGAACATGGTCCACTCAGACTCAATATCTCCAGCCTCCCTCGGGATCCAGTCGAAGCTCCACCGGAGGTGGGAGTTGAAGATCTCTCTGACAGGAGACTCGGCCAAACATTCCCAGCAGACCCTCACAGTACGTTTGGGTCTGCAGAGTCTGTCCAGCTTCCTCCCCCACCATCGGATCCAACTCACCACCAGGTGGTGATCATGACAGCTCCACCCCTCTCTTCACCCGAGTGTCCAAAACACACAACCGGAGGTTGGATGAACCGACCACAAAGTCTATCATCGACCTCCGGCCTAGGGTGTCCTGATGCCACATGCACTGATGGACACCCTTATGCTTGAACATGGTGTTCGTTATGGGCAGCTGTAACTAGCACAGAAGTCCAATAACAGAACACCGCTCGGGTTCAGATCAGGGGGGCCGTTCCTCCCAATCACGCCCCTCCAGGTGCCACTGTCGCTGCCCACGTGGGCGTTGAAGTCCCCCAGTAGAACGACGGAGTCCCCAGTCGGAGCACTTTCCAGCACCCCTCCCGGAGACCTCAAGAAGACCGGGTACTCTGCATTGCCGTTTGGCCCGTAGGCGTACACGTCAGTGAGAGACCTGTCCCCGACCCGAAGGCGCAGGGAAGCGACCCTCTCGTTCCCCGGAGTAAACTCCAACACATGGCGGCTGAGCTGGGGGGCTATAATCAAACCCACACCAGCCCGCCGCCTCTCAACATGGGCAACTCCAGAGTGGTAGAGAGTCCATCCTCTCTCAAGGAGTGTGGTTCCAGAGCCCAAGCCGTACGTGGAGTTGAGGTGATCCCAACTATCTCTAGTCGGTACCTCTCAACCTCACGCACAATCTCAGGCTCCTTCCTTGCCAGCGAGGTGATGTTCCACGTCCCTAGAGCTACTTTACGTGTCCCGGAATCGGGATGTCGAGGCCCCCGCCTTCGACTGCCGCCTGATCCACTATGCACCGGCCCCTTATGGTCCCTCCTGCAGGTGGTGAGCCCACGGGAAGGCGGCACCACGTCGCTCCTTCGGGCTGGGCCCGGCCGGACCCCATGAGAGGAGGCCCGGCCACCAGGCGCTCACACACGAGCCCCAACCCCGGATCTGGCTCCTGGGTGCGGCCCCGGCTGCGCCATGTCGGGCGACGTCACGGTCCTCGAATTTAAATACATCATAAAGGGCTTTTGAACCGCTCTTAGTCTGACCCATCACCTAGGACCTGTTTGGCTTGGGAGACCCTACCAGGGGCATATAGCCCCGGACAACATAGCTCCTAGGGTCTTTCGGGTACTCAAACCCCTCCACCACGGTAAGGTGGCAGTTCAAGAAGGGGCCAAACGTTGGGTTAAAATTGTAATTTAAAAATTAACCCAATGGCTGGGTTTGTCCATACTTGACCCAAAGTTGGGTTAAAACAGCCCAGCATTTTTTAGAGCGATATAAATCTGCCGCGCTCACGTGCTACAAGTAGGAGCTCTCGGAAAATTCGACAAGTTGTAGTTATGAGTTACAAGGACGTGAGCGCTTTTTAAAAGTTGGAATTTCGTAATCATGGTAATATGTTATGGTGTGAAATGACGTCCCCTTTCACGGGCGCTAAAACGCTGTTTGGAAATCGCACATTGAATCTAAACTCTGAGTTTGACACCCATGTTTACAGGAATCCACTGGTCTGACTGGTTCAACTGGTGCTGATCAATCCTCAGTCTGGCACTGCAGAAAGCCTTTCACTTTAAATGCACAATCAAAAGCTTGAACTTTCATAAATATCCTGATAACCAATAAAGATTACAAGATTCTCTCACCTTGCAGGGCTCTGGAGCACATTCCCTCATTCTCGCTGCTGGGTGAGGAGGAGCAGAAGGCTGAAGAACAGATCAGAAATCATTCAAAACCACTGATGATCCTGAACTACAAAGGCACATTGAGCCGGATCAACTAAAGCCCAGATTAGAAGGAGAAACACTGATCTAGCAGCGTTTCTAATGTCCAAACTCAAGGGAGTGTGTGTAATTCACTAGTGTGTTTCTGTTTGGAGTTTTATTCTTCTCTTTTAGATTTCAATATTAAGTATTTCAGTGAAAATGTGATTCATATCAATGGCATTTGTAAAAGTATATTGTAGCCTATATGTTATCCTTTATATTTCTATATATTAATAACGATTATAAGTATAGAAATATAAATGGTGTAATAAACATAACATTTAAAGCTGCAGTCCGTAGCTTTTTTGGGTTAAAAATTATCCAAAATAAATTTTTGAGCAAGTACATATCCAGCCATTGTTCAAAACTCTCTGCTTGCCGTAGCTCGATTCACACCGGTGAGCTTTAATAATGTTTGTAACTCCAGCGGTTCTAGTGGATTTCCGCGGGAGACTCGAGCATCTCTTTGGGTCATTACGTCACATCTGTACACAGTTACATTTCTCCTTGAATAGAACTTTTTTTTGGCATTAGGAATTCTATAAAATTTATTAAAGAACCCTAGATTTCCATATAGAATAGAACCCCATTAAACTGTTGCTTTTCTACGAGTCGGAACACAAACATAGTAAAAAAACATGTTTAAATTGTATGAAATAGACATTTTTAGGTTTAGAGTACCAGTAGAATCACTTACGTTTGCCATCTTCTGTAGATGTGTAATGCTCAAGATCTTGTTTCTGTAGACGTGTAATGGTGGAGGTCTTGTTTCTGTAGATGTGTAATGTTCAAGGTCTTGTTTCTGTAGACGTGTAATGCTGTTTCTGTCTGTCTGTATGCGTGAGAGACGAGCTCTTATACAAAAGTCTCCGTCATAAGTCATGCAGAATATGTGCCTATCCTCAGTTCAAAATACTTTCACTTACGATAGAAACGATTTTCAACATTATCTTCCAAATGTCATGTGTCAATTTTTGACTCTACCTCTCCCTAGTTTTTCATAGTAAACATTTCTTTAAGTCCCTGATTTCCGAATTGTTATAGTGAATTGATGAATTGGATTTTGAATTATTGTTCTATTACCTGGTCAATAAATTGTAAACATTTGATTTTATTCTGACTGACTCTAAAATTGTTCTCCCAAGTAGATTAATGTTCCCGCAAGTTTGCGTGACAGATTAGTGACGAGTGACGACCAATATTTGGCATCAATTCAAGTGTACTTGGTTTGTGGAGACAAGTTATTTCCGTTATTTCCGAGCAGCAAATGCTGTTTGATCAACCTACATTTGGGTGTGTCTAATTACTTTAGATAAGTGTACGTGGGAAACCACGACTTGGCCAAGCTATTATAAGAGAAGTAATGTTGATCAACTGTAGTAGTGGCCATCTTTACTGAAATAAACAATACTTTAAATTCAAGTGTGTATGCAAGTGTATGCAGATTCAAGGGGGCTATATAAAAGTATCTTTGATTGTGTAAGGGTGAATCCTTACATTCTTTATTATATAAATGAGTCTCTTGAAGATAGTGAGGACTGGAGTGGTTTAATGGCATGAGAATGAAAGATTTTAATAGATGCCATAATTCATCCGGGCGATGACGATCCTCACACACTCCTCGACGTCTTCCATCTGGGACTGATAGTTTAATCTCAGGATTTTCCCCACGTTGTTGTTGGTTTAGATGCAATAATAAGTTTGTTTAGCTCGTCCTTTCCTATAGTTGTAAAGCACTGCAACTGTTCTTGAAGGGCAATAATTGAGGCTGAATCAGAAAACGCTGTCAAAAGTTGTACATTTACAATTGTATTTCTGATGCTTTCGATTTTCTCAGTGGATAAATTCATAAAGTCATGTACAACTTTAATGGGATATTGAGTTCTCGGTTTATTGTTAATTAGCCACTGTATAAACAAGAACCTTGGTGTCACAGTTCTGTCACCCTTGTCTGGGTTTTCTCTTGGTATAGTGACAGAGCTGTGACACTCCCGGTTTGTCATGTGTTTGTGTTAGTCTGGTCTGTTGTGAGCACATGGCTGTCATGTTATTTCCTTGTGCCATGTGCTCTCCTGTCAATTGTCAAACCCCGCCCATCTTGTTATCTCGTTATTGTTTAATGTCCCTCACCTGCCTGCCTCGTTATGTTCCTTTGTTTGTTCCCTATTTAGTCTCCCTGTGTTTGCAGTCCTGTGCTGGTTCGTTGTCTATGTTCCCTCGTGTTCTTCTTGATGCCTGCCTGAGTTCTCTCCTGTTTTCCCCCCCATGGGGTTGTTTTGTTTGTAAGTTTGTTTTGTTTATTAAATAAATTCCTTTCACGCACATGAATCCTCGCTTCCTGTTGTACCCATTCCGTGACAGAACGAACCAGCCAAGATGAGGATTCAGCGGAAGGATTCACACCAGCCACCAGTCTCTCCTATTTCCTGCCCGCATTATGAACGCATTATTAGGTTCACCGCCTTGAGTTCCCTTCGACAGAAGGGGACGAATGTCAGAAACTTTGCCCTAGAATTCAGAGGGGCTGGGGCTGGGTGAGATGGCCCTTAAGGACCTGTTTAATTACGCCCTTGAGGAGCCTGTTGATGTGTGGACAATGACAGGGCTGGAGCGCTTGACGTTCTGGAGATTTGTGACTTTCTGGAACGACGAGAGAACCCTCCAGTGAGGCAAACTACAGCGGTCCCAGTGGACCTCGGAGAACCTGCAGCGGTTCCAGAGGCGGAAAGCTTGGCGCCACCACCTCACCATCAGACACGGCGGAGGAGGAGGAAGCGGGAGCCAACTGTCCCCCAAGTCCCGGAGGCCGTCCCTGAGCAGCCCGCTGTCGTCCCGGAGGCCGTCCCCGAGCAGCCTGCTGTTGTTCCAGAGATGCCCACTCTCCCTATTGAACCGCCAGTGGGGATCAGAGAGGCTGCAGCACCGCAGAGACCTCACAAACGGAGGAGGAGGAGAGGGGCGTCTGCGATCCCACAGGGCTTGGAAGCCATCCCCAAGCGTCTCGCCCTGACGGCGCCACCCAAGCGTCTCGCCCTGACGGCGCCACCCAAGCGTCTCGCCCTGACGGCGCCACCCAAGCGTCTCGCCCTGACGGCGCCACCCAAGCGTCTCGCCCTGACGGCGCCACCCAGACGCCTTGCCCCGCCGGCGCCGCCCAAGCACGTCACGTCTGCCGATCCAGAGACTGTTCACGTCACGTCTGCCGATCCAGAGACTGTTCACGTCACGTCTGCCGATCCAGAGACTGTTCACGTCACGTCTGCCGATCCAGAGACTGTTCACGTCACGTCTGCCGATCCAGAGACTGTTCACGTCACGTCTGCCGATCCAGAGACTGTTCACGTCACGTCTGCCGATCCAGAGACTGTTCACGTCACGTCTGCCGATCCAGAGACTGTTCACGTCACGTCTGCC